AAGCGCAAATGTCCATATATAGTGTTTGGAACGCAAATGTCCTTTCTTGTTACAGGTCAAAAAAAGCGCAAACGTCTGCTTGTCTTCTGTTTTTTATAAAAGTTTGCAACAAAACTAATAATATCTTAGTCAAATTCGTAGCTTATATGATAATCTTTCTACCAAAAATAGATGACCAGTACATGTAGGACTGCTCTTCTCTTCTTGTTGTTAATATGCACAAGTTTCTGTGAGGTTTCAGATTCAATGAACGTCGTATTTTCATAATAATCTTGTTTTTTACAAACTTTTGACTAGTTTAAATGTTATCACAAATACAGAAATTGCATAGTGTAAGAATGATTCAACTAGCAGGAAAATTAAAAACAAGCGTTCTTTCACAATCATCTATTTCTGGAAGTACGAATCATAAAGCATAAACAATCTGTGTGGCTAAAAAGTTCTACATATGTAAATGAAGACCATGATTCTGTTGTTGTTCAATCATTGCGCTTGTATTTTCGGGGGAAAAAATCAATTCGTTTATTTATAGATATAATGTTGTTTTTTTTTTCTGTATTGAACTTCTGCACGAGATAAATGAAGGCATTGCACGACGTCGTTTTTTTTCTACACTTTTCATGACGTTTTGATGCTGTACTACATGTTTTTGTGTTTTTGTAGATTTGTATTCCTTTTGTATTGTATTTTTTGCACATTTTTAAATGTTAATTCTGTAATTCAACTGATCGAGATAAGAAGTGGCCTTTAAGGGGAAGGCTTTGGTTCTCATGCAGGAGACGACATATTAAAGGCACCCACCGTTAAAAATAATGCTACCATAAATGAGGTATCATGTCCTGTAAAAAAGGAAAATACTTAAAAAATTATGTAACGTTAATAAACTATGAACAACTATTATTTGATCATGCAGACACAATACATACGTGTAACAAGAGGAATACAATATTTACATATATACAAAGAATACAAAACAATGGTGGGTATAACAAAGGAAAAAACATAAAAAATACATTTTCAAACAATCATTTTACAAAATGTTCTTAAGTTTACTAATAAAAAGTGTTAGATTTTTTAACACTTTTACATTACTTAGTGACAATAAGCCTATCATTTTTTGATAACATGGATATCTAGTAAAGTAGATAGGAATATGTTTGTTTCGTATTTTTACGACTGTTGGAAACTGACACTCAAAAAGGTAATGAAATTCAGTGCCAATTCCTATATGACATAAGTGGCATATTCTTTCTTCTTTTGGAATGTTTGTCCACCTTCCGGTTTCTATGGGTATTTTTAAATTACAACACCTCAATTTTGTTAATAATTGTCGTTCTCTTGGAAATAATTTTAGAAGGTTGTTTTCCAGATTAAATGCTAATTTAAATTGACCATAAAATTTTCCTCTAGATAAATTTTCTATTTGGCTATACCATTTTTGGATGAACTGATCTACGAGCCTTTGCTTTACAGTAACTTTTAATTGGACTGAATTAACTGGAAATTGCTGAGTCCATACATAGCTGAGTCCCGTGTTATCAAAAATAGACTTTAAATGATTTATCCACTTAAAACTAGTATTACCTGATTGACTAAGCTTATACATTACTCTATATAGCACACTGCTTAATTTGTTTTGATTAACAATAAGTTTATTCCAAAAACAGACCATTTTTAAATTAATAGCTACCTCAATTAGAGTTCTGCCAAGTTCTCCATAAGACATGAAATTAGGAGTAGTGGTTCTTAACTTAAGTATATTTTTGCAAAATTGTAGGTGAATTTTTTCTATCATCTGAATGTTTTCAAACACCCACACCTCGCACCCATAAGTCAGGATGGGAAGTATGAGGGTATCGAATAAGCTAAATAAATCTGTAAATCAACAGGTAATGATATATTGCGTATTTTTCTGTATAAACTGAATAATGCTTGTTGCGCTTGCTCGACTATTTTTTTCTTGGCTTTAACAAAAGAACCATTGTAACTTAAAATTACACCTAAATAAGAGTAAGAATCTTCTATATCTAGATTATTGCCAAAAAGTTTAAAAATTGGGTTATGTTTGGATTTTCTCTTGCAAAAAGTTACAACTTTCGTTTTATTCAAGTTCACTTTCAACTTCCATTTAGTACAATAGGCTTCAAAGATATCCAAAGCGTTTTGTAAAGACTCCGGACGTCTCCGATGTTTCTGCAAGAATTATGGTATCATCAGCATAAAGCAATGCAAATAATTTGACATAAATATCAAGATTATCAAAGCATAAACTTTCCACTTTTCTTTAAGCTGCAATTATTATTTTGGATAAAGAAATCTTCTAGGTCATTTAAATAAATTGCAAAAAGGAAAGGAGACAGATTCTCTCCTTGTCTTACTCCTATGTCGCACATAAAGAATGCAGAACATTCTTGACTGCTTATTACACAAGATTTAACATTATCATATAAACTATGCAGTACTTTGAACATTTTTCCAGTTATATCTGCATTTTGTAACTTAATCCATAATGAGGGTCTAGATATTGTATCGAATGCCCTTGAAAAATCAACAAAGGTACAGTATAATTTTTTGCCAAGTGACTGGTAGATAGAAATTAAAGCATACAAAGTGAAAATATTATCAGTTGTGCTATATCCTTTTCTAAAACCAGTTTGAGCTTCTATTATTAATCCTATCTTATCTGACAATTTGCTAAGTCTTTCATTCAGGATAGCAGTGAAAGTCTTACCCAAACAAGTCTTAGACACTAATGTGATAGGTCTATATGAACTTGGATCATAAATATCACCTTTATTTTTAAAGATTGGTAGGATAATTCTGACCAAGAGCTTGGTATTTTTCCGGAATCTAATATTATATTAAATAGTTTGCAGTATATAGGCATCATAAAGTGAATTGTATTTTTTTATATGTTCGTTTACAATATTATCATATCCAGAGGCTTTATTGTTTTTAAGTTTTTTCACAACAGCCAGAATTTTGTCTTCTGTAATTGAAGAATTTAGAATATTATCAATATTCTCTGGAGGAATTTTATCAAAATTAATATCATGTTCTTCATCCCCATCAGCATTCTCATTCAAAGTTTTAAAATATTCATAAAAAGTATCCAAAGTAACCTTGTCGTTATAACTAGATTTGGGTTTGTCAATATTGTTTAATATTTTCCATAAGCCTTTAGGATCAGTCTTAGATTTTTGTCTCAGAGTAATTTAGCAGTTTTTATCTGATAATCTTGGAAATGCTTGTTCGTATCTCTTCTGTACTCTCTACTTGCCTTCTTTAATGAAGTTTTATTTAGCTGACTTTTTAAATACCCATATTTCCTTTTAGCTCTGTGAAAAATCTTTCTTTTCGATGCACATTTTGTATTATACCAACTGAAGGTTTGTTATTAAATTTCTTATATTTAGAATTTTTACATGTCTTACCAAATACGTTAGCAGATGATTTTATAAACACATCACACAAATTATTCACAACTGTATCAATATCAGACTGTAATATATTTTGTTTTAAGAGTAACTCATCTAACGAAGTTTCTATATTTCTAATATTAGTTTCTTCATTTACTCTTGTTCTATAAATTCTGTTCTCTTATTACTATTCCATTTTATATTTTGGTTTTGTGTAACAATGTCATTTGTATCATTAACAACTACATCAACTAATAGTGAGAAACTAATCTGACAGTGAACATCTGAAAACAGGGGATTAAAGTCCTCGACTTTGAACATATTTATATAAGAAAACATATTAGAGGATAAAAGCAAGTAATCCACTACACTTGTATCATTGCAAGTAACATTTCCTATATATTTGTCACAATCTACTCTAGAATTTACAATGTATAAATAATTTTTCTTACAAAGTTCTAAAACTCTATGTCCGAAAGTGTTGGGTCTACATTTACACTGTGTATACCTGTACAATGATATTCCGGTCTTAACAATATTATTATGGTCATGAAACTTGATTCCACAGACATTTAGACAACACAATTTAATATCCTGAATTTTTAAAACCCTACAGTTCACTCCTCTTGTTGGCCTGTCCTACTTCCTTCGCCCTGTGTTGCTTGAAGTGTACCCAGTTTGGGAGGATGATTGTTGGTCGGCATCGTTTATAACGGAGCCCTGTTCATATGAGTCTCTTCTTGCTCTTTTTCCTGGTCTTGGTGGTATGGGTGGGCTTTGCTGATTGAGTTTGTTAATACTATCATTGCTTAATAAATAATTTTCCGGTTCGGCAATGAACTCTTTTCCATCGATGTATAATTTATCTCTAGCTAGGTTTGCCGTCTTGCCTCGCCTTCTTCATAACGGGATATAATTTCTTTCGTCTTGCTTCGACTTCGCCTGGGAATTGCTCCTTGATGCCGAATGGTTTCCCTCTAAGATGATATGCTATTTAGAACTGTTTCAAGATCTTTCCGATAAATAAATATAGCCCTTAATTTGTTTGCAAACATTTTGTTAAGTTTAATGACACTTGTTTGAAAACTAGTGGGGATTGAATTCTCAAAATGTTTATCTCCTTTTTTTACCCTTTATCCACTATTTTCCGCACTAAAATCCATAAAACACAGTTCTGTTCAGGATGAAATGCATGTGAGTGACATACTAATGTATTGTTAGTGTGTGACTTTAACCCGAGTCTACATGTAGGTGAAAATGTATATTCTGGGTTTCGTAATGTTTATTATTTGAATTACCGCATTGTTATCACTGTACCAATTAACTAATTAGGATATCACCGCGAGCAGCAAAAACTGTTACATTTGGACCAGAAATACAATCTACGTGTAATAATACACACCAAAAAAATAAATTTACATGTATTGTGTTATTTTAATCCTCCATGTTTTGTATTAGTAAAGTAAAATTATCAATGTTCAATTTTAAGATTTAAATCGACCCGAATATTTTTAAATACCTATTGTTTGAAATGTAGTAATGTGTTCACTCATGCCAATAAAATAATTGATACATGTAGTTATTCATGGCGAAACACGTTTGTTGACATTGTTTATTAATTTTGTAAATTTCAGGACAATACAGAAACTTCGTCAGGTAAGTTTATTTCCTGTAAATATTGCTAGAACGATTTTGATTGTATTATCATTGTCATTTGAAAGTGCAGACTGTATTGGCACAGCATAATTTCAACTTTTTAAAGATTTTGTTGTGTACATATGTTTAAAATCTAAGCGGAGACTTCCATTGAAACCCCTCCCCCTTTTTAGTTGTGCATAATATACTGGTATGAGGAAGGTTTAAATGGAACTCTTGTTCTGTAAATTTACAAACTAGGTTTGGCAGATCAGATCAGAATAACGTTCTGCATAATATCAAGTACAATTAAATAGGATAAGGTATTTTTTTTAAATGGCAAATTCGAAAAGTTATTAAACTTATACAAATATTTAAACATAATATTAGCCTTCGTGTTAAACGTGAATAATAATCCATTTGTAGTATTATGTAGGACAGCAAACATTATGCATGCTCAGAGAATGTAAACATGTAAGCTTCATCGAAATTTTTAATTTTTAAATGGACATCAGTACGATGCTGCCAACTAGGAGTTATTATGATGTTTTTGGAGGTAAGGCTTAGTGAACATTTCGGCCATTTAATGTCAAAACCTGAAAACCTAAATGTATCGATCTGTATCGCGCATATACGGAAATCCATCTTATTTCGATTTCAGAATTCAATTTTTCCCAAATAACCAAAAGAGACCTAGAGGGGAAAATACCGTCTTCAATAGAAAGCATATGCAAAGTAGCTCTCTCCATTGTATAAGACCCTTCCAATTTAGATGATTTCAAAGTAATGTTTAAGTGGGTTTTATGCAGCAAACACATGGGGTGAAATATTTATCTCCGAAATCGGAGAATGGATTTATTCCAAAAAAAACAATGGACAAAAATATGCGTTGAAATTGTTACAGAATGATCTTCTTATATACTGAAATAATGTTAGATTGATCAGATTCTAAATTGGCTGTTTGATTGGTGTTCAACGCCACTTTCAGCAGTATTGGCTATTTCGTGGCGGTTATCATATTTTAAAAAAGGAAGTCTCATATTGAAGATAATTGATATTTGCCTTGCCTACAAATATATTTGTAACAGGCTCTATGTAACAGTAAATTTGGTCCGGTAGTAAAATTTGTCCGCCAGACTTTTTTTCCTAGTTAATCAAGTCCATGACCATTATTTTACTAGGAATATAAGTCCCGGGACAAATTTTACTAGGAAAATAAGTCCATAGCTAGGAAATTATGTCTGGCACTTATTTTCCTAGGAAAAATTGTCCTAAGACTTGTTTTTCTAGTAATTTTTATTATATTATAGCAATTATTGAAAATAAAAACAAAACCATATTTTCCTAGTTAAGATTGGAAAGTTTCGTTATTTTTTTCCTATTAAAATAAAGGACATGGCCGGACGTTATAACCTGGGCATGTTAATGACCTGGACATGATGTCCTAGGAAAATAAGTCTTGGGACATGAAAACAATAATAAAACATAACATTTAAATTGACCTTTTAAAGTAAAGGGCATGGACGCTTTTACCTAGGAATATTAATGACGTGGACATAATTTCCTAGGAAAATTAGTCTGGGGACATGAATTTTGTTAAAATATTAATGCACAACTCTTTATCAATATAAAACATAAAAATTGAATTGTTTACATGTAAATAATTTGTTTCATTAAAATTTTCCTTTTAAAATAAAGGACATGAACGTTTTTACCTAGGAATATTAATGACACGGACATGATTTCCTAGGAAAATTAGTCTGGGGACATAAATTTTATTAAAAAAATTGATACACAACTCTTTAAACAATATTAAAAAATAACATTTATATTTACCTTTTGAAATAAAGGGCATGGACGATTTTACCTAGGGACATTAATGACATGGACATGATTTCCTAGGAAAATTAGTCTGGGGACATACATTTTATTAAAAATATAAATACACAACTCTTAAACTATATTAAAGCATAACATTTAAATTTCCATTGTTTAAATGTAAATGATTTGATTCATTTATATTTTTCCTATAAAAAAAAAACATGGACATTTTTACCTAGGAATAATTATGACATGGACATGAATTCCTAGGAAAATTAGTCTGGGGACATAATTTACTGACATCGGACTAAAAATACTAGTAAATCCTGTAACCATGGACTTTTTATACTAGTAATATGTGTCCGCCCGGACATATTTTACCAGGACAAATTTATCTCTTACATCTACACAACCGTAAACTCATAAAATAAATATACGATAAAGAAAGTTTGACATCATTTCTAATTTGATTTAAACAATTAATTGATGTTCTAATAACAACCACAAGGACTATGCCGTATCTTATTTTAAATAGTACATTTCTTTATTTGAGCAGAAAAAGCTGTCACAAGCATGACGTCATGTCTTTAATAGTTTTATAAAAGTAGATAATATAAGCACAAGCAATACTTTCAAAATATATGCAATTATATATGATACATTTTGAAACAAGTTAAAGAAAAGAGCTTTATACTAAAAAAAGTTTCTTTAGGGTTTGGGGCTGTCTTAATGATGTATATTCAATCATAGGAAATCCCTATATATTTCTTTATAAGTATAAAGCAAGTAAGTAAGTAAATTTTTATTATAGTGACGTGTAATAACAGTTTAACAAAATACAAATATATTGCATAAACAATAAAATACACCCGACCCATTGGGTCTATAAGTCACTTTCAAAATCATAAAACGTATTTCGTTTATCACAGATTTCAAACAAAATAATGAAAAAAGATTAAGCTTAATTCAAAATAATTAATTCATAATGAAGAATTGAAAATTAAATAAAAATGAAATAATTAAAAGATCGACTTAGTAAATAAAAATTAAAATTGAGGATGGAAATGGGGAATGTGTCAAAGAGACAACAACCCGACCATAGAGCAGACAACAGCTGAAGGCTGAATGTCCAGTTGAATGAATCATCAATTAATATTTATAATAAAGAAACGGAAAATATTCAGATTGACCATGAAGTAACCTTTTTACATTTTAGTATTACAGTCAACTACACTCATTACTGTCAACTAAATATATATATCTTTATTCTCACGTGCATGGTGCAATCTATCAGCATTGATATCGTAATATCCTCATTACCCTACTTTATTCATCAAATGTGTTTCCGTATACCCAAGAGCTTATCGCATTCAAATGTAAATGAATCGAGTGGTCACTAACCGAATCACGTGCACCCTAATCATTGGTTTGTATTACTGATGCATATACCATAACACAACCAAATCAAATGACATTCAGAGGCAGTTGAAATGTAAGTAACCATTGAATATCAACAATAAGATATATATAATTTACTAACCTTTTCTATAAAAACAATGCTTAGCCTACATTATTTAAAACATCTTTATTACACACTGATAGCATACCTTGTAATTGACCAGTCTCAGGGTAAAATACAGTAATATGATAGAATAACTATCTTTCCAAACCCACTTAATATGATATGATAACTTTCTTTCCAAACCCACTTAATATGATAGGATAACTTTCTTTCCAAACCCACTTAATATGATAGGATAACCTTCTTTCCAAACCCACTTAATATGATAGGATAACTTTCTTTCTAAACCAACTGATATGCCCGTCCTGAGAGATGAATGAAATTGTTGATAGTGAACCTCATCTCCAAGGCTGGCCTAGCGTTACATAAAACGCACAACCTATCAGGTGAAGGTGTACTAAATGGTCGCCAGATGCGGATCAAGGATTTGAAAAGGGGGGGGGCAGGCCCCCAAACTAGACAAAATTTGTAGTGGAACCGGAAAAGTCTGGATTAACCATAAATGAATCTTCACAAGGGGGCCCGGGCACAGATTGTTACAAAGTCATGTATGACATACAAATGAAAATATTTACAAACATTCAAATTCTAAATTAACAAACATGTATAGTATATAAGTATGATTATCATAAATTTAGATATGTTGTGGTAGGTGATACTTTTGCAAATTAAAAAAAAGTACTTCATAAGATTCACATGCATACATTGAAATTGGTTGTATTAAACACATCAACGGGAATATAAAAAACAGGACATACAGTCATATTTGCTTTTTTGTCTGGTTTCTTTCTTTCTTTCTTCTTTTTTTTTTTTTTTTTTTTTTTTTTACATGTAATGGCTTTTGTAAATCGAAATCACTTTCTGATAGAACATTGTTGAATGTTATCAGCATACAATAATACATCAATTAGATCTAAAACAAAAACTCTTATTCCCTAATGCAAATAGAGGGCCGATTTTGTAAACCTGAGACATGATTATCAAGTTAGAAAAATTTAAACTGTAAGAAACACTGAAAACAGAAGTGATCAAAAAGGTGTAAAAAAGGGGGGGGGGGGGGTCATTATAAAAATAACATTAGGATGAATAATCATAATACTGTTGATAATAACAAAAAGAACCAAAAATATTTAAAAACTGAATGCAGAGAATTGATTACAGTTTATAATCGTGCTGTAACTAATGTGTATAAAAGATGTCACAGTGACCCTTTCCCAATCGTTTACATTACCTGTTTACACGTATTCATTGAATCAACATGCTTAGAAAAGGATTTCACTCAATTTCGGAAACAATAAAAAAAATCAAACTCTGCTGGCTAAGGTCAACAATCATAGAAAATGTTATTCCGTTGTGAAGCTTTTTTTTCTCGATTTATGACATCCTACGTTTTACTAGGACTATCACATGACCGTCTTAAGACACCGATTTAGATATCCCAATTTTAGGACAAAATTAGAGACACATCTTACCTTAGGAGACTTTCTTTAACCTGACTTGGGATTATGACCAGTCCTAAAACCAACCTAAAACTTTTTCTAGTCTTAACTAAAAGTTAACTTAAAAACAAGGCGATCTGGTATAATTAATAGTGTCAATGAGACGTCTATCCACCAGAGACTTAGTAGAATGTGTCACAATATACTCCAAAATGCTCAATAAATCTAATTATACAATAATCCTTTTCATAATTTACGACGATAATTCAAATGAAGTTTTACAGCTTTATTGTTGTAAAGTAATAAAACAATATCCTATAGAACGTGTACAACTGTTCATTTGAAATATGTCATTCAAATGAATAAAATCCTTAACGGCAACATGGCGGAGGATAATCTTGAACCAGGTAAAAAATTTACTAATTTTACAAATCGAAAATTAATATTTCCCTCTTGTGCTTAAAAACTGATTTTATTGTATTAAATATACGGATTTATATAGAAAACTTTAGGTTGTATTATTTACACTCAATCTTTATGCTAGTTTGCGCATATATCACTCAGACTGCAAGTTTATTTCATTGCGCATCAAGACCCCATCCAAGGACTTGACAATGTCCCCCATCTCTGTTAATACTATTGTCCTAATTGCATCACAGTGTCGATTCTAGTGCTATTATAAACTAGAATATTAATTCGGTGTAACATTCATGTTTAATCTTTTTAAAAGCAAATGCAATTAAAAAAAAGAAAAATGAAAGAAAAAAGAAAAAAAGAAGGCGCACAAATTGTACAGTCTAGTTGTTGATCGCTTCTGCTTTTAAGTAATGAACTTATCGTTTTGGGTTATTTAACTCCTGGTTAGTCATTTTATTAATAATATTTTGTTTTTTGAGTGTCATTTAGACGGATTAAAACTTGTCACATATTTTGACATTTGACAAACAAACAAAACAACAGTTCACAGAAAATTACAGCAACACAAACCCCACTAAATATTAATTAAAAGTTAAATGTAATTAGTTTCATTAAATCATTTCTGTTGTACGAGTACAAGTCATGTACATAATCATAATCGGACAAGAGTACTCATATTAATGTATTGTTACTATATATGTTTATTTTCTCTCCTTTCACCTACAGAGGAATAAAACTTATCTGGTATGGACTGTACATGTTAGTATTTTAAGGCTAAAAAATGTACACTTCAAATATTTTTAAATACATACAGACTCGGACTTTTCTTGAACTGAATTTTAATGTGCGTATTGTTATGCGTTTACTTTTCTACATTGGCTAGAGGTATAGGGGGAGGGTTGAGATCTCATAAACATGTTTAACCCCGCCGCATTTTTGCGCCTGTCCCAAGTCAGGAGCCTCTAGCCTTTGTCAGTCTTGTATCATTTTTAATTTTAGTTTCTTGTGTACAATTTGGAGTTTAGTATGGCGTTCATTATCACTGAACTAGTATATATATTTGTTTAGGGGCCAGCTGAAGGACGCCTCCTGGTGCGGGAATTTCTCGCTGCATTGAAGACCTGTTGGTGACCTTCTGCTGTTGTCTTTTCTATGGTCGGGTTGTTGTCTCTTTGACACATTCCCCATTTCCATTCTCAATTTTAGAATAACAAATTGAGGGAGACCATTGGTAAAATATTTCTTTATACTTTTAGAATTTTGTTCAGATTTTAAAAATAAGTGTAATTACAATAAAAAAAAAACGTAATCCAGTGGTTGTCGTTTTTTGCTCTATATATCATATTTGTTTTTCGTTCATTGTTTTATAAGGGCCTTTAATAGCTGACTATGTGATATGGGTTTTGCTCATTGTTGAAGGTCGTACGATGACCTTTAATTGTTAACTTTTAAGTCAGTTGGTCTCTGGTGGAGATTTGTCTCATTGGCAATCATACCACATCTTCTTATTTTTATATAAGAAACAAACAGATTATGTTTAGAATTGCTATGATTATATAATATAAACATTTCTATTTTTAGATATCATGAGGAGAGTTTCCGTGAATAGAATACTGAGAAGAATAAAGATCTTAATTGGAGTACTTATATTTATAGCTTTAACTCTACTTCTGTTGATAATATCATCGATTCTAAGATTCAACTGGAAGATAAAAATGTCAGAGGCACCAAAACGATTGAGTGTACATCCAATTTCAGAGGCAACTGTAAACGGTATACCTCTAATCATACACCAAACGTGGAAATCAAATAATGTTCCAGATAAGTGGAAAGACGCACAGGCTTCTTGGACAAATCAGTCGGTGATATATCCATTAAAACGCAAATACAACGAATTCGTTTACATGTTATGGACTGATAAAATGTTAGACACTTTCATAAATGAGAAGTATCCATGGTTCTACAATGCTTTTCATAGTTATCATTTTCCTATATCACGGACGGACGCTGGAAGATATTTTTTGTTATACCATTATGGCGGAGTTTATTCCGATTTGGATATAGGATGTAATAATCAGTCGATAAGAAAGATATTGTCTAGTATAGAAAGCCATCAAGGAGTCAGTATCATGGAAGTTAAACCATACGGGTTTTCTTTAGAAGTGCTAATATCTGCGAAAGGTCATCCATTTATGAAGTCCGTGATATCTGGTTTGATATCAGCTCAAGCAAGATATCCTATTCCATACCTAACAGTGTTGCTATCTGCAGGTCCATTATATTTTACCGCAAAATATGGATTATATAAAAATAAGCATGAAATACATATTGTGAGTCCTTCGTTGTATGAAGGGAAATATTTCAAGCATTATCACGGTGGAAGCTGGCATAGCTGGGATGGAGAATTAATTTGGTGGTTTTATAACCACGGACCATTATTTTTAAAATTGATAATATTAGCAGTCATTATTTTTGGAATTGTGACTTTAAAAAATAACTACAAGGTTTTAGGTAAGCACAGAAATAGTCATATATCATAATTAGACAGATTTAAACCAGTAACTGTGTTTCAATTCTTTTATTTATTAGGTGAAGAATTTTCCGTCTCTTTCAATTTTGAAACAAATTGACATTTGATTACACTTCTGATCAATAATATAAAATATAAGGAGGTGTGGCATGATTGCCAATGAGACAACTATCCACCAGAAATCAAATGAAGTTGATATAATCAATTATAGGCCACCGCACGGCCTTCAACAATGACAAAAACCTAAACCGTATGGACCGCCATAAAAGGTCCCGACATTAATAAATGTGAAACAATTCAAATAACGGCCTAAGTTATAACAAAACAATTTACAAAGCATATGACAGCCATGAACCAACAACAACCAAAGAACTACAGGCTTCTGACATGGGACAGGCAAATACGGATTGTGGCCGGGTTAAACATGTTAGTGAGCGCTCAACCATCAACCTAACTTGGAACGATGGTATAAAATTCCAACATAAGAACAAATTGTAAAAATCAGTTGCAATTGGCTTAACTCAAAAGATCGGTACGAGGCAAACAAACAACTATCATAAAAACAATAGACACAAAGCACCGATATAAGAGTGCTCGCAGTTACTGAAAGCTAGTTTTAAAGCCTATGACAACTAATAAATAATTTTTGCATCTAGCGCCTGCAGTTTTTGAGGAAATGGCAAACACTTGCGAAATTATTTTAAAAGGGTTATTTCTAAGGCGATAACTCTAACATAGGTTGTCCGATTTTCCTGATATTTCAAGATAGATGGACTCATTTTGATCTTTAGTTATTGTCGAAAACTATATTCCTGACTTCCATACGGTATTAAAACTGAAAGTGACCACTACATGTATATGTATGCGTCTGATCACTTGTTAAAATGAATCAATATTTGAGTTTTTTTTTCATTATGCAATCCAAGAAATGACAATCGTCTGTGAAAAAAAAACTTTTAATGATTAATTTACCTAAATTTGTCAATGACAGTCATTTAGAATAAAAAGAAATAATATACTTAAAGCATGTGTGTAGATCAGCAGCAAATACAATCTGGATACTTGAATTAACTTTCATAACTTAATTCACCTTTAATTAGTGGGTTTTTTTTGTGTGTGTGGAATTATTCTAAAATAAGTTTCCAATAAAATTGAGAATGGACATGGGGAATGTGTCAAAGAGACAACAACCCGACCATAGAACAGACAACAGCAGAAGGTCACCAACAAGTCTTCAATGCAGCGAGAAATTCCCGCAACCGGAGGTTCAGTGATAATGAACGCCATACTAAACTCCAAATTGTACACAAGAAACTAAAATTAAAAATAATACAAGACTAACAAAGGCTAGAGGCTCCTGACTTGGGACAGGCGCAAAAATGCGGCGGGGTTAAACATGTTTATGAGATCTCAACCCTCTCCCTATACCTCTAGCCAATGTAGAAAAGTAAACGCATAACAATACGCACATTAAAATTCAGTTCAAGAGAAGTCCGAGTCTGATGTCAGAAGATGTAACCAAAGAAAATAAACAAAATGACAATAATACATAAATAACAACAGACTACTAGCAGTTAACTGACATGCCAGCTCCAGACTTCAATTAAACTGATTGAAAGATTATGTCTTCATCATATGAATATCAGGCACAATCCTTCCCGTTAGGGGTTTAGTATCATACCATCATAACATATATGAGAAGAACATAACCCGTGTCATGCCAACAACTGGTTTTTAAATAAATGTGTTTAGTTCCAAGTAGGAATTTCTTTGGTTTTTCAAGAATATTAAGTAAGTAAAATGTATATTCACATATTATAAGAATTTGTCAACAATCTAATTACTATGTAGGCCAAAGAAGAACAATTCTTTGTTACATGTACGCTTACTTGTAGATTTCCTGATAGTTGGAGATGATATTCACCAAATATATTTTAAAAATTCATTTTGAAATAAATGATTTGTACGAGGACATTTATGTCCAAAAGTAAATCAGTTGGTTCAAAGTAAGGACATTCTACATTGTATACTGATGTGTAGATTACTAGGTATAATTATGGAACAAGAATGATTTTGATGTTTGATAAATGTCGTCAATAGTTTATGGTTGTGTTGTTATTTGTGGGTTTGGTTTTCTCTTCCTGGTTGGCTGGTATGTTTATATTTTACTCGAAACAAAATATATATAGAATGATGTACATAAAATTATCTTTACATGTGGAGCAGGATCTGCTCACCCTTCCGAAGCACCTGAGATCACCCCCAGTTTTTGGTTGGGCTCGTGTTGCTCAGTCTTAATTTAGTTTTCTATGTTGTTGTTGTGTTTCGTGATCTGTTGTTTTTTTTTCTGTTTTTCTGTTTGTCTTTTCCCTTTTTAGCCATGGCGTTGTCAGTTTATTTTCGACTTATAAGTATATTTCGCCTCTCTTTTAAAAATGTGTGCACTTGTTTTTTATATCGTCTCCTCAGCAGGATTCGAACTTAAATGATTTAGAAATCACTTTATGTGTACCATATAGTGTTACAATGCACACATCTAATATTCTGTAACTATATCTTGGTAATTCAATTTAAAATCCGCTAATAAAAATGAAAAATATTGCGATGTCATATCCAGCCTGATATTTCTATATGAGATCACATTCTGAATTCTTACTTTAGAAATATTGTGAAATTTTCTTGTGATAACTATTATGATACAGTTTACTATTCTTGAAATCTTTGGAAAGATATTTCATTCGTTGTTTTAGGGGGTCACAATTTGGAACTAGAGTGTTACATAGTAATTTGAAATTCTTTTTAAATGCCGTTTTATTTACGAGTTATTTTCTTATGCAATCTATGTAAACAAAACGTTTTAAAACCCCAGTTAAGTAAATAGATTATAATACAAAATTTATGTTATAATAAATTTTGTACTGACTATTATGTATACGATCAATTTTGATCGAAACCCAAATATGAGTACGTAATAAACAGTTGACACAGAAATAATATGTTTCGTCTATATGTATATGATAATAAAATAGTAAAATGTAAATGTTAAAATTAAAATGGCAATATATGCACTTTAAAAGTGAGGCGAAATATACTAAAGGAACATTCAAACTCATAGGTCCAAAACAAACTGACAACACCATGACAAAAAACGAAAAACGACGAAAAGACAAAAAACCGTACACAAAACGCAACATAGAAAACTAAGACCTAGCAACACGAACCCCTGAGGTGTCGAATAATTTTAACTTTGTAGTGATAATTATTCACTGCACATCGAATACAAATGATGAATGTATATCATTAGTGGTTCCACTTACACAAAACAAATTGTTGACACCGCCAATGTCGGAAAGAGCACGACCAGGTCTCGCCGTACGCGACTTCGTCGAGGCGAGAATCAAATGAATAATAGGAATTTTTTTTCAGAGGGGATCACTTTTTTGTGGAAGATTTGGTAAAGTTTTTAACAATATGAAAAATATAGAAATTTGTTTTGGCAGATAAATATTTGTATAAAGTCATAAATTTATTCTGTTGTATGTTGTATCTCATCAGCATCCCACTTCGAAGTGATACAACAGTCATTTGTCTATCACATGGGAATGCAATTATTATTATTTTTTTTTTAGAAAACGGCTGTGCGATGAGGGCATGGTACTCCTGTTTTCAGCCATCTTTTTAAAAATATTGTGGAATATTAGAAAAATAATGCTTAAGTCATACTATCTTTTTGTCAACATAGGCTTGCTCTGTTTGATGGGATGAAGGAATGACAAACAACGATATGTATGAATTGAAAACTGTCATTTAATATTAAAATGACGAAGAATCAACAAAATGATAAACATGTATAATTAAATCAATAAATCATATTTATAAACAACATATATGTTTATAATGACAAAACCTTATTGACCCATTCCATCAAAGATGGGGTTACATTCGCCATCATATTGTTACACAAAACCTTCCTTGTAACAATATCCCCCATCCAAGCCTGTGACAAAACATTTCAGAAACAATGAGGCCCAACTACCAAATGAAATTCACTATGAATCTAAATTATCTACATCTAAGAGGTTTCATTCATGATTCTATGATTATAACATGTACATGTATTAACCGATTTCAACATGGCTGCCAGAGGCCCATGTCCCCATGGCAACCATCGTCAAATATACATAATTTACCTAAATTTACCATTTATATCAATATATATTTTTTATTTTTATGTTATTAATCAAGTAAAAATCGTTTTTATTCGTTTCATGTCAATATAACTATGTTGATATGTTACCAAACAGTTTTGTGTGCTTTTTTTCGCGAAAGATATTAGTATTTTCCACATCGTGTATTACAGTGCGTAATGTTATAGTCATTAAACTTTAGGGGATTCCAAAAATTTATGACACCCGTATTGTCTGCAATGACAGACGGGGATGATTCATTACTGTTGGTAATAAACTCTTCGAAAATCGGGTTATTCCACTGCATCATTACAACCTTTATAATGACTTATGATATTTATATATAATATCTATATCCTCTCAGATTATCGTTACTCTTAAAAATATTTAAGGATTGCCAGAGGCCCATGTCCCCATGGCAACCAACACCCAACAAAAAAAAAATCATATTAACTACACAACACAATATTGCAAAGACATAAGTCTGCAATGTACACAGGATTGAACAGAAAGAGGCCCATGTCCCGATTTCATTTTAAATCACAGTGTCAGACATAGATTCAATTAAGGCGTCTTATGAGACTTATATCTACATGTATATACCATCTGTCATGGCAACCAACCCTAAAACAATCATATAACTACAAAACATTATAATATTCAATTCTGAGACTCCATGATTGAATTAAAGATGTCCATGTATCCATTTCATTTCTAGTCATCTACAAAATTATACCTTCACTTATTCATTGTACTTTAATCCAAATAACTTTTTATAAAATTGAAAAAAGATACATAAAAATAGAATGATTTCTTCAAACTGCCTTGTACCATTAACTTAGATCCACAGACAGAAGCCCATGACCCCATGTCTAAAAGATATAGTCAAATACAATGACATCAAAAATAGTTCTTTTCTACAAACATGTATCTATAATACACCACATACAAAAATATGCATTTACTAATTAATACAATATAAAACATTTGAAGGAAACATCTAGCAAAAAATTTGAATGTACAATGGTACGAGCATATTTCATAAGTTTAGGTGATTCATTAGAATATTGTTGAGAATAAGTTGCCCCATAAATGTAAAAGGCATCTTGCCATTTTTTTCGGAGTTCCTCCAATTGATGCCGAACACTGTTAGCAGCCTCTTCTTATAACATTTGAGCACGAATGATTGCTGCTCTCAGATGATGGGTTAACATTCATATTTGATGTGGGTTCCAGTTATGGTGTCGTCATATCTGTTGCATTAAATGTAGTGTTACTTTGCGTTTGTGGCAACATGGAATTAACACTCTGCGACCGGTTTGTCAGTGCTGGTCTTAAAGTTAGATCTGATGTATTTGCGTCCTTTCCTTGTATTACACCAGTACTTCTGAGAATTGTAACAACAGTTTGTGTGATGATTGGTGCTGCAACATTTTATGTCATTGTAAGGTACATCCACCCCAGATCAGAACTGCCTATGTTTCCCATTAACTTGCCCAGCCTCCGCCTTTTACGAGTACTTGTTTTATGTAATTGCAAAGTCCTCTGATGAGGGAAAAGCTGAAAGAGAATGTAAAATGTGCACTAATCAAAAATACAATATGTACATAAGCACAACAAATTTATATAAGTGCCATATGCTCTGTTCATTGCTCATCAAAGCACCATTTGTACTAGAGCATCATTAAATTATCTAAATGCTTTATGACCATGCACTGCTCATCAAAGCATAATTTGTACTAGAGCATCATTAAATTATCTAAGTGCCATATGCACCATGCGCTTTCATCAAATCACCATTTGTACTAGAGCATCATTAAATTATCTAAATGCCATATGCACCATGCACTGCACATCAAAGCACCATTTGCACTAGAGCATCATAAATTAGTATATAAGTGCTATATGTACCATGCACTGCTCATCAAAGCACCATTTGTACTAGAGCATCATAAATTGATATAAGTGCAATATTCACCATGCATGGCTCATCAAAGCACCATTTGTACTAAAGCATCAATAAATTATCTAAGTGCCATATGACCATGCACTGCTCATCAAATCAACCATTTGTACTGGAGCACATTAATTCAACTTTATGTCATATTCACCATGCACTGCTCATCAGAGCACCATTTGTACTAGAGCACCATCAATTAATAAGTGTCATATGCACCATGCATTGCCCATCAAAGCACCATTTGTACTAGAACATCATAAATTAATATAAGTGCCATATGCACTATTCATTGCTCCTCAAAGCACCATTTGTACTAGAGCATTATAAATAGTATAAGTGCCATATACACCATGCACCACTCATCAAAGCACCATTTGTACTAGAGTAAGTGCCATATGACCATGCACTGCTCGTCAAAGCACCATTTGTACTAGAGCATCATTAATTCATCGTTATGTTATATTCAACATGCACTGCTCATCAAAGCATCATTTGTACTAGAGCATTATAAATCAATAAAGTGCCCATGCATTGCTCATCAAAGCATCATTTGTACTAGAGCATCATAAATTAGTATTAGTGCCATATGACCATGCACTGCACATCAAAGCACCATTTGTACTAGAGCAAGTGCCATATGACCACACATTGCTCATCAAAGCACCATTTGTACTAGAGCATCATAAATTAGTATTAGTGTCATATGACCATGCACTGCTCATCAAAGCACCATTTGTACTAGAACATCATTAAATTATCTAAGTGCCATATGACCATGTACTGCTCATCAAAGCACCATTTGTACTAGACCAAGTGCCATATGACCATGCACTGCTAATCAAAGCACCATTTTTGCTAGAGCATCATTAAATTATCTAAGTGCCATATGACCATGCACTGCTCATCAAAACACCATTTGTACTAGAGCAATTGCCATATGACCATGCATTGCTCATCAAAGCACCATATGTGCTAGAGCATCATAAATTAGTTTTAGTGCCATATGACCATGCACTGCTCATCAAAGCACCATTTGTACTAGAGCAAGTGCCATATGACCATGCATTGCTCATCAAAGCACCATTTGTACTAGAGCATCATAAATTAGTATTAGTGCCATATGACCATGCACTGCTCATCAAAGCACCATTTGTACTAGAGCAAGTGCCATATGACCATGCACTGCTCATCAAAGCACAATTGTACTAGAGCATCATTAAATTATCTAAGTGCCATATGACCATGTTCTGCTAATCAAAGCACCATTTGTACTAGAGCAAGTGCCATATGACCATGCACTGCTCATCAAAGCACCATTTGTACTAGAGCATCATTAAATTATTTAAGTGCCATATGACCATGCACTGCTCATCAAAGCACCATTTGTACTAGAGCATCATTAAATTATTTAAGTGCCATATGACCATGCACTGCTCATCAAAGCACCATTTGTACTAGAGCAATTGCCATATGACCATACATTGCTCATCAAAGCACCATTTGTACTAGAGCATCATAAATTCTTATTAGTGCCATATGACCATGCACTGCTCATCAAAGCACCATTTGTACTAGAGCAAGTGCCATATGACCATGCATTGCTCATCAAAGCACCATTTGTACTAGAGCATCATAAATTAGTATTAGTGCCATATGACCATGCACTGCTCATCAAAGCACCATTTGTACTAGAGCAAGTGCCATATGACCATGCACTGCTCATCAAAGCACCATTTGTACTAGAGCATCATTAAATTATCTAAGTGCCATATGACCATGTACTGCTCATCAAAGCACCATTCGTACTAAAGCATCATTAAATTATCTAAGTGCCATATGACCATGCACTGCTCATCAAAGCACCATTTGAACTAGAGCAATTGCCATATGACCATGCGTTGCTCATCAAAGCACCATTTGTACTAGAGCATCATAAATTAGTATTAGTGCCATATGACCATGCACTGCTCATCAAAGCACCATTTGTACTAGAGCATGTGCCATATGACCATGCATTGCTCATCAAAGCACCATTTGTACTAGAGCATCATAAATTAGTATTAGTGCCATATGACCATGTACTGCTCATCAAAGCACCATTTGTACTAGAGCAAGTGCCATATGACCATGCACTGCTCATCAAAGCACCATTTGTACTAGAGCATCATTAAATTATCTAAGTACCATATGACCATGCACTGCTCATCAAAGCACCATTTGTACTAGAGAGACATTGATTGTCGAAATGCGCATCTGGATTCAGAAAAATTGGTACCGTTTATGTTATTAAATACATTTTGGATCTAAAACTTTTAATTTTATAACAATCTGGGATGTTACACATATTAAATTACCTTGTTAACATTAATCATAGCCATAACAAAAAAAACAGGGGACAATGCTTTATTTTGGTCAAGGTATAGGGGATGATAAAACATTTCGGAGGAATTGCATTGATGGAATCAAAATGATTTCAAAGCCACATTATCAAAATGACCTGCCCCTCCTTTCCCGGGTAAAAATTAATAAATCACTAAGTTACAAATTGTTCTACATATGTTGTATACGAACACAGACATGGTATATCGGAGTTTTTTTTTTATTTGAATGCAGATGCCTGGTGTAGTATCGACTTCTGTTAATAAATGCAAGGTCTAACTTAAATTCTATAATCTGCTATGTTCAGTACAGTCAAATTAAATGTGTATATGTTTTATATGCATATGTGTCTTTATAAACTAGTATATACATATACATGTATAGTAAAAGGCTTGATTATTAGGAACAAGTCAATAAATAATAGCAAAATATAATTATTTAATTCATAAGTTTCCAAATATGTTTAGCGACATCTTTTGCGGTCTTCTTCAGATCACTTATTTCAAAGTCAATATCAGTCTGAAATCTATCCACACTTCCCTGGACACTGTATGTCATAAATGCCTTGGAAAAAGCAATTCGGTTCTCTGTTTTAATTGATAAAGGGTCGTACTCAACCTGTAATTACAAATTCATAATAATTATCATGCATGTAAAAAAAATTTGACAAGTCAATTTGTTTAAATTCAAATATAATGAAATCTATTTATTGCATGATAGTATAAACCATGGTCGCCTAAGAGGCAGGATGACCAAGTAGTTTATATACCATGCCATAGTGGAAATATTTAAAGAGCGATTTTTCGCGTTTTTTTTGTTGCACTCGTGAAATTTTTCAAATATTTTTGCAAGTATATCCATAAAAAGAATTGTATTCAGACTAAGAATACCCTTTGCTGTTGAAGCAAGTCGTTAATAATATATGTTTTATTGTAAATTTGTAATAAAGGATAGCATAAACAGAGACACATAGATGAACTTTAGGACATTGGGTCGTTGTGAAATATCCTTATAAAAATAAAACCCACAAAAATATATAGAAAAGGGGGGGGGCAATGTGAAACGATCGCCATAAAAACGAAATGATGATGAGCTTGAAGCTATGATATATTTCACTACGTTTTCATGGTAGGCTGTATTTCTTTCTATTCTATTTTTTTATCCTATATGCTTGATGAACATGGGAACTGGTTGGTTCACAGAATACTTCATCAGAAATATAACTTACAAACCGAAGACGGTGTTTGTAAATTATTAACTTCTGAACCTTAAACTTCTTTCTGAAACAATGAATTAATGAAATTTGATATATCAAAGAACACATATTATTATTAAGATAAACAGCATAATTACTTTTGTTATGAGTTGGCTTTGGATGGTATTTATATAAAGTCCTTGTAAGTATTTGACATGCTCCAGGGTATTTCGTTGATTGTATATTATACCTTCTCCGCAAACTGTAAAAAAATGTGGACATATTTTTTGGGATGGTACTTTTAAGGGACCAAGAAGTTGATGAAAATTTTGATGCAACTACGTTGGAATAGATCAACCAATATTAAGTAACCTTTATAGTGTTCAGTTTATAATTATTTTTTTTAAACTTTTTTGGGTGGAAGTATTGCATTCGACAAATGTCTTTTTTAGTCTTAAAGTATTTTTTAATTACTTTCTCATCGGCATGTACATGTACCCAACATTCTCTTTTTTCATACTAAACATATGTTTCGTTCATATTCTGAAATTGATTCGGGCATTGTAAGTGGTGTGGTTGAACTGGCCATGATTGAATAAGTGCAATTTCTCAGTCAATACATTATGTTCATAAATTTAAGATTCAATCACTTAACCAAAGTTGACCTAAGTACCCTTTGATTCTTCTATGTTGACATTCTTTAATCAAAACATATAGCTCTACGTGAATGTATAATCCTCGACTTTTCAGACGTTCCTGATGTAGTGAATTTAGAATTGTTCTGAACGCATGCAGTGAAATTTAGAATTGTTCCGAACGCATTTACATATTTACTTTGATTTTCAAACCAGGGCAGTCCAACATTTACCGCAAAGAAGGATGTTTTTCCTTCAGATGGTACAATTATTAAATGCTACAGCCATACATCTACAAATATTTTTAGCGCGATCATGACTTAATTCGGTATATTACAGGTAATTACCTATTGCTAGAATAGTCATTGTGTCATGTGACAGTCGATCAATTTTACCACAAACCGTACACTGGTCGTCACAGTCACGTTTCTCCACAGACACAGAACGCTTTCCAAATATACCTATAAGATCAAAAGATAATTGTTAAATAAGTCGGCAATAACAGCGCTGTTCCTTTGCCTTTTGTGTGTTTTTTGCTGTGCATGTACTGATTTTGTGTCATGGATGGATACCCATATACTTGTTTTTCTTTTCTTATTTTTACAGACTATAATATTGAAATTGTTTGTTTACGACAAAAATCTCCACATAAGATCTAAATGACAACAACTGCAATCAAGAGTTCTTTCTTTTTCAGTTACTTATAAATGTTAGTAGCATAAAACTTCTATATTATGTAGATGTGTTGTACAATGTGGATACATTTGATTTTTTTCAAAGATATTCGCAGTGTCTTCTTCATTTTACCAGGAAAAAGATATCCAAAGCCAGTAAGAACAACACAAAAAACAAATGAACAATTATATTAGTCGTCAGAGATTAACAGATGTAGAAACTGAACCAGACGCTCATTTTTACATTAAACAGATACAACGCAACAAGGATTTGTTAGTTCAATGAAAATGTATGCGCCAAAATCTTGTTTTGCTGATGATATTTTGGTTTATCGATTATGGGTTTCAATATAATACATAAAAAATGGTCCACATTTATCATTTAAGGGCAATAATTTCGATAAAGAGTCGACTGAAGGTTTCTCACATTTTACTCATTTGCAGATCGTGTCTTGCTGATCATTTTTGCAATTTGAGTTTTTCTCTTATCTAAAACAGCAAACAAAAATAAGTCAAATGCCCGTCTGTTTATTCCTAATAGGAGTTATTGCCCTTCAAATACGGTTTTCACGATTTTTGATTTGCCTATGTCTATAATATCGAAGGCTATAGTATAAAGAAATAAACTTAATGGGCAAAAATGAGCAGCTTGAAAAATCTACAAATAAGTCTAATGGCTGAAATTATCAGTCGACCCCCTTTGGAGTTATTGCCCTTCAGTGACAAGTATTACCTTTTTTTTATGTTTTTGATGAAAACTGTGTAAAGGAGACTTTTTATGCATGACAAGTTGTAAGCCCTTGTGAGAAATCGTTTTGAGCATGACTAGTTACATGTATAAACCTTTGTAAGAAATATGTAATAGTTATACACCGAGGGATAGGTGTGTCTGGATAAGAAACCCCGTCGGCCGGAGGCCGGAGGGGTTTCTTATCCAGACACACCGTATCCCGAGTAGTATAACTAACTTACACCCCATTCTAAACCCTATATTTGTTAACATTGATTATTAAATGAAAAAAAAAAAAAAAACGATAGCATATTTATTGATAATATCAAACCATGATTTATAAGAATATTTTTTTTTGTTACATGAAACCCCACTAGTAACCTTTCTTTGGTTATCTTCGTTCAAACTTTGACAAGTGAGTATATTTTACAAATGTCAAAGTTGTTTTGCATATTACCGTTAAATCCATGTGCTAATATGGACCAGCAGGTCAAGGTTGACTGTTTCGTGTATTCTTATTACAAACATAAAAATACATCATGCTCCTGGTATACAGTTGTCAATATGGACGGGTATAAGACGGACGACATTTTGTGGCAAGCGTTGGATTTGGTAGAAGAGACTAAAGATAAAGGCAATATTATAACCCAAAGTACTTACCTGTATCAGTCTAATAAAGGTAATCATAACTGTATTTTATATCTTACGATGTTATCATAAAACAAAAGCCCTCCCTCCCTCATCTCGAGAATAAACAAACATTCATATTCGAACATACTAAGGAATAGGTGTGTCAGCATTAGAAACCCGACTACAAGACACGCTCAACATACAATATTTAAAATTGAGGAACTCCCTTTTTTGAGGGGCAATCATGCAGGGGCTGATCCAGCCGGGGGTTCCCAACTCAAGAGAAAAAGGGGGGGGGGGGGGGGGTACAACCATTCAAATGCATTAATTTTTTAAATAAAAGTCGGGTCCAACCCGCGGAACCCCCAACCCCGGATCGGCCACTGGGTAACCGGGGGAGGGGGGTCCGGGAGTTAGAACCCCAATTTTTTTTTTAAAGATCAATGCTTTAGAATAGAGACATATGACTGGGATAAAAAAAAATACCTTCAAGCAAAAAAGTATTTGAAGGATTATTTTTGTATTCCATATGGATGTTTATTGGAATTTCCTAAAATGTGTTTTTTTAATATCATGAAACAATTTGTAGTGAACACTATTAGTAATTTCTTATGTTCATAATCAATTTCTATTGTTACGAATAACAATGGACTTTGTTTGCGGGATGTAGAAGCAGGGGTTTCCAGAAACCCCGCTCGTCACACCCTGTGGTCAAAATCCATTGTTATTCGTAACAATAGATCTATTCAATTTACACTTGTTTCAGAAATAGAAACTATGAAGTATAACAATAGAACTGGGGTGTAAGTTTAATGCATAACTTCACATGGTTTTATAATAACAAACAAACCCTCGACTATTTTCCTATCCCTCTATTTAACCGAAGCTACAATATAGTAATATTACTATACATCTTGTTATTGCACAATAGGAACCATGATGATTTAATCATTTGAAGTTTTGTGACACCTTCTGATTATTTTTATTCTGCTTTTAGGAAAATTTGGATTCCGAAGTTTAAAAGTTTAAAGTAAAGTTCAGTTTGATAGTTGAGGTGTGATGTCGTATTCCTTTGAACCGTGCAAAAAGTCATGCTTAATCATACTTCCATGTCTAATTTTTTAATCAAAGAAAAGAAATCTTTAAATGTTATCGTGAATATGTCAACGGTTAAGCACATGTAACAGTTAATGGTTACGAAAGAGATTTTAATAAGCTTAATAAAATTATGCAAACTAATTCGGCGTGTTAAACGTTAGCATGTTAAACTTAAAAAACTTTACCAAAATGTTTCTCTTTTATTTGGTGAAATATTCGTGAATAAATATTCCTAGAATAGATATGCATTTGTAAAGAATGTACGACAACAACAAAAAAAAAACTTCTCAGAATTCTTTTAAATCATTATCACTAAAATAAAAAAAAAAAAAAAAAAATTCTTATATTTTTTTCTTTAATAATTTAATTTAACAGCAAATAATGATAGATCGTAGCATCAACCTTTGTTTATCAAGCTAGACCAGAAGCTGTAAAAGTGAAACACACAATAAAAAAAAAACCTGCACAGTCCAACTACCAACCGGATGTCAAGTAGCTTAAACAAGAAAATAAAACAGCACATAGTTTGGAAAGCACTATAAAATTGTGCTCACGACTACTAGAAAGCTAACTAAGGTTGATAAAAGGTTGCGATTACTACGACGCTATGGAACCAATGATTATAAATGGTAAACTTAAGTCATCTCGAAATTTTTACAACCACCGTTATGGCTTGCTTGTACGCAAATTTCTGTCACACATGAGTACGGATAAGTTACATTTGTCGTAGCCACAACCCCTCCCCATTTCCGTGCAAATTGATACACAAAATGTAATTATTATTTCCTCAGATTTGATCAAGACGCCATGCACTCCACTTATGAAGCAAGATCTGCTTTCCAGGGTAGTTCATCCCGATTTATTAAGGGTTCATGTGGCTCAATCTGCAGTTTTCTGTGTAGTAATGTTTGGAATGTTGTTGGTCTCTTAAGTCTTTTCTTCCTTCTTTTGGCAATGGTATTGTCCTTAAATTCTGATTCCCCCTTGATAAATTATTACATGTTTTTCATTGACCAAGTTTGAGGATTCTAGCAAATACGCATGGAAGAAATCGCCTTAAATGTATTCAGTGTATTGTATAACTGTGAGTTTACCATTATCACTCTATTCGTAAAAACAGGAACTTTAAATAAACAATTACACAATATGAATTTTTAAACAATTATATCAATATCTTGTATATTTCTAGATAACCTCCACTGTTAAATTGTCTCGTGGTAGTGCATCCGCCTCATATTAATGTGTCGGGGTATGGTGACATGTCATCCGGCTGATTTAAAAAATCCGACTCAGCGTTTCAGTCTAGTACAAAGCAGGGTGGATATTCATATTGCATCAACATGTTCTCGTCTTAAATACTAATATGCATTTAATTTGCCGCTGGACGTTAAACAGCCATTCATTGTACATCATCATCATCATTATAGCTCTAGATCGTTATTAATAAAGTGTATACTCACTATGAAAGGCGTTCCCTATAGTGTTACCGGTATCTATTACAGCATTTCCAGCCACTGAAATACCACCAACCACTATGTTACCAAGATCTGTTAACGCATCACCGATACTCGTAAATCCACTTTTGACTTGATCAAGTAAAGTCTGAGCTCCAAGCTGTACCAATGTTTCTAAAATGCTTCCCTGACTACTAAAATCTGGTAATTTGTTAATGTTAACAGTTACAACATCTTTTGAGAGTGATTTTAATTTACCCCCCAGTGACTGCAAATTGGAAGCAATTCCAGAAAATTCATGCAAGCCTGTCAAACCTGAACCAAGGTGAGAAGATATTTGACCAAGACCTTCAAGGAACAATCCAGATTCTTCTCCTAATAATCCAAGTGCAGCTGGAAGAGATTTCCCCATTTTGTCCACAAAATTACTCACTTCTAATATCGGTTTAAAGATAGTTGGCATAATCTGTTTTATCGAATTTTGATAATATAACATCTGCGCGTTGCTAAAAAGTATAAAAGTTCGTTTTTTATTGTACAATCAACTCATTTTTTATATTAAATATATAACATGGTACAATATATATGGTAAGAGTAAGTGAACGTTATTATCATTGTCGTTGGTTGCTGTCTATAATATATTTCGCTTATTGTTTTGTCCATAAATTAGGCGGTTGGTTTTCTCGTTTGAATTGCTGTACATTTTGTCATGTTGAGACCGTTTATAGCCTATGGCATGTGTTTTGCTTATTGTTGAAGGCCGTGTGTTTATCTATATTTGTTTTTCGTCATTTGGTCTCTGGTGGATTGTTGTATCATTTGGTGTCTGATGGACTGTTGTCTCATTTGCAATAATACTACATCTTCTTATTTTGTTATCTATCTAAATCCAAATAATTACTCCAACAAATACAACTGTGCATATTTCAATGTTACAAACTCGGAGAAGAGTGAGCGGAGTTTATTTCAATTTGTCAAACTCAGGGTAAGAGTGAGCGGACTTTATTTCAATGTGTCAAACGAAGGGAAGAGAGAGCGGACTTTATTTCAATGTGTCAAACTCGGGGAAGAATGAGCGGATTTTGTTTTCAATGTGTAAAACTCAGGGAAGACTTTAACGGTCTTAAATGCTCATAAAAGACATATCAACACACGTACAGGCTAACTTACCTGTTCATAAAACGTAAAATCATACCACTTACTTTCGGCAAACTCCAGCAAGGCATTGTTGGCACTGTTCACCAGTGCTGTTTAACTTCGTTTCACACTCTTTGGAAGAGGAAAGCTGGACATAGTTTGTCTCATTTATTTTGCTAAGTATATAAAACAGTATCTCTCTTCTCACGTAGGTATCAAATTCTAAATATAAATTAAAAGAACAATTAGTTGATTAAAGGCTACAATAAAAAAAAATGAACGATTTTTGATTTATGTCAAAAGAATATTATAGAGAGTAGAATTTTAGATTTGACGATGTTCCTTGATTTTGTTTTTTACTTTTTTTTCGGAATTTTCTGGTTTTATCCATGGAGTAAAAAATATGCCCGCTAACACTACTTTTCTTTTCATAATTTTATTACATATAATTTTAAAACCATTTTTTAAAATCTTACAAAATTCTTGTAATTTTGTCATACCTTTTGAAAGAAAAAGGTGCCAGTGGTTTATGTATCAAAAACCTATGGAGAACTATTTCCCGCCAACTTTTCAATATCTTATATCTCAATAGCAAGGACCGGTCCTTTCATTTTTTCTGCTTTTCTGGTTCCGTTATTCATATACTATCAATTTATAACAGTCTTTTAAAAAGCTTGTTATTTTGAAGCAGAGTAGCGAACATCCTTTTGTATATATGTAAGTACGTTTATCGAATCACCCATGAAAGTATGAACTTAAAGAGAAAGCAAGTGCTTATAATAAATAACTTACTTTGTGTACTATTTGTGTCCAAAGTTGCAAGTGTTAGGACTTTTTGTCTTCTCTCACATGAAACCATTAACGATGTACTAAGTAAAACTAATAAAATAGTAAACGCCATCTTAACAGTTGTACAAAGTAAATGTATATACGATAATAAGTGGTAATTCTTATCTCTCCGGACTCTCTAGAGTTTAACAGTTTATCAGGGAAATTACATAATGTGGTCAGTTGGTGTCGAATTGAACGAATCTACCATTCTATAGAAATTTATGGCTGAGATAACAATTACGCAATAAGCTGATAATCAGTTACTATAAATGCATTCGTTCAGTGTATGTTTACCTGTTTTTGTTTATATGTCTCTTTGATCGAGTTAAGTCATTTCAATTGATATTTTTATGTTGTAATGTTACACTACTGTTTCAGGTTAGGGTGAAGGTTGGCGCCTGTTAAAACGTTTAAACCCGCATCATTTGTATGTACCTGTCCTAAATCAGGAGCCTGTTGTTCAGTGGTTGTCGTTTGTTGATGTGGTTCATAAGTCTTTCTCGTTTCTCGTTTTTTATATAGATTAGACCGTTGGTTTTCCTATTGTTTTACACTAGTCATTTTGGGACCCTTTATAGCTTGTTGTTCGGTGTGAGCCAAGGCTTTGTGTTGAAGGCCGTACTTTGACCTAGAATTGTTTACTTTTTACACATTGTGACTTGGATGGAGAGTTGTCTCATTTATGTGTACAAATTGTACTTTCAAAATGTTTTATGAGAAGAGTTATCTTACACAGTTTCAACAATCTTTAATCTTTCTTTATATCAAAATGTTCAGTTTAATGAAAGATTCTCATTTGTTCACCATGATCTGTAGAAATAAAATAAAAGTCAGCAATCCAACAAACAAGTGAGATATTTTATTTTTAAGAATTAACTGAAACAAATGTCCATAGGGATAGTAGTTTTCTTCAGTCGGTGTTTAGGCTTTAGACTTTTAGATTGATTGATTATTTGCTTGCTAAACGTCCTGTGGAGATTATGTCATAAAATTGAGAATGGAAATGGGGAATGTGTCAAAGAGACAACAACCTGACCATAGAGCAGACAACATGCATATATTCAGGACAAAAAATATTAATAATCACTTCAATAGGTGTTCTGCTAGGTGGGAATACAGGAGTATAATGGGGGGAAATCTCGGATAGGCACTGGAAAGCAATGGTATGCCGGACAAGGCCAGATGTTTGCTTCAGGCCACCTATGGGCCCATCAAAGGTTTGTTGCAAGGTTTGTAACGTACAGAGTACGTGACACCGTCTTTGCATTAGGCATATTATTTAACGTTCACATTCTGACTGGACGTTTAGATTTTAAATTTGAGAGGCACATTTATAGGAAAAAAATTATATAATCTGGTTATATATGGCATATTGGTATAATTATATACAATGTATATATACGATAAAATTACAGGGAGGTGGTAGTGGGGCTCAAAAATGTCCTGTGTTCAAATACTTCCACTAAAGTCCAGAGCTGAAGTAAATAAATACCAAAAGCAACGAATCAACAATGCAAGGAAATGACCTTTTAGTATCATGGTTTCTAAAGACAAACAAACAAAATTTTGTACAACGTTTGTGAACTGTTTACCGTATCAATACCTTGTTACCGTGGAATGATTCCTCGATTTTAGAATAATATTGTGTAGCACTAGCATTATGAAGTTAAAGCTTAGTAAAGATTTGCCAGTCCTTATCACCTGACGTGAGTGAATCTTAATTATTTCTTGTGGCAACGGGATAAGTTCTTAGCTGCTACTGCCCTTATATCTTTTCCAGAAATGTTAACATTATGTTACTCCAAAATTTGCTGTTTGCACTGATTGCTGAAAAATGGTTATATCATATAAAAATTAGAGAGCAGTGGCAATACACCTTATCGCTATTTATTCCAATCCGGATAAGTTCTGAAATTACACAACTTTTTCATCCAGTTGAACCTATCTGGGGCCCTGTTTTAACAATGTTTTTGCATAAAACTTTTCAACGAGACATTTTTTAACCATCGTAAACACTTTAAACAAAGCATTTTTATGATTTAAATTTGTGTTTTAAAAAAGTGGATCATAATCTATCAAAAGTTTCAAAATGTTCGCTTTCTCCCTCAGCTCGTTACTGATGACCTTTGTTTTGGCGACGCTTGACCCAAACAAGAAGTTGTCTAAGTGACGGTTCTTTCCGGGTTGGACTAAATAGCGATAAGGTGTATTAATCCTATATGTTGTAAAACAGCACGTCCTACCTACGTTAAAGCTTTTCGTTCAAGTAGAAATAGAAAAAAAGACTTAAAAATGACAGACGAGGAAATAGAGAAAAATTACCTCATCGTCTTTCAGTAAGTTGTAACAATGTGACAACAATTTTCACCCTTTTTTAAATAACTTGTTATGGCCCTTAACAGAGCCGTTGTTAATTGTCTTTGTTCTTTAATATTCTGTCTGTGTATTCATTATAACTTTTTGCTTGTATGGGGCTTAATACGTCAGTGACTCACTCAAACTAGTTACATATTATATTTTACTGTTCTAAGCAGTATGAATTGATTTCTTATGCAAACTCACTTGGGTTGCTGACTTTTTGACATATACCCCACATATCCTTTTATTCATATCCCTTTTGGTTTTATCAAAGCTTCACATGTGATCGAATGAACGAATTGTTTCCCCGTATTTCTCTTACCGTTGGTATTAAACTGATTTAAACATCGATTCAGAACAATTTTTGTTTTAAATCCTGTCATCATAATTGTTTATTCTACATGGTAAGCAAATTGATGATAAAATTAGTAAAATTTTAGTTTCCTGTTCAACAGGAATTAAAATGAGAAAATGTAATTTTATTTTTATTTTTGATCCGAATGAAAACAATATTTGTAGGGACTCAAAACAAAATCATGACTATGCATGATGAGAAGTGTCGGAAAGTTTATCATTTATATACATGTAATAGATCTATATGATTATATCTGATCAATGTATGTGATAGTCAATGTGTTAATAGTCATAAAAAGCTCATTAAACATTTCCTCCAAAAAATGCATTGGAATCTTTTTTTCAGCGATTGTGACTGTCTTGGATTTTACAAAAAATATGGAGCTTAATACGTCTGTGGCTCGCCCAAACCAACCACTGCAACTGGATTTTTTAAAGACCAAGGTAAATAACGAGGATTTCACACGGTCAGTACTCAGACTCCTTTCAGTCTGAGTTGTTTCAACAGTCATACTTTCTTCTTCATGATATTTCACACATACGATCACATTTTTAGTACTTAAATTCAGAAATTAAATATACGCATAGCTGAAACGTTGGGGTTTGCCTTGTAGTAGATTTCTTACGGACTCATCAAAGAGTTATTGTAAGGGTTATTGTACAGCTGAGAGCTTGAAACTCGACTAGCACGGGTCATCATGTTTTGATATTTTCATTTTAACTGGATGTCGCGTATTTTTACACCATGCACGGTCAAACAGAATCCCACTCACTTTCAAACAGGGCTTCATGATATAATTACCGAACGAGAGTTTCAAGTGACCCTACTCGTATACACCACTTCATCCTTGATAAGATATATATTCGAAAATTAATTGTTGATGTTTAGTCTTTCGTTTGTTGATGTGGTTCATACGTGTTTCTCGTTTCTCGTTTTTATATAGATTAGACCGTTGGTTTTCGTGTTTGAATAGTTTTACACTAGACTAAGTCATTTTTGGGGCCCTTTAATCTTTATAGCTTGTTGTTCGGTGTGAGCCAAGGCTCCGTTTTGAAGGCAGTACTTTGACCTATAATAGTTTACTTTTTACAAATTGTGACTTGGATGGAGAGTTGTCTCATTGGCACTCATACCACATCTTCTTATATCTATTTCATTGGAATTACATGAGTTTGTTCCTTTCGGATATCTTGAGTTTAGAAACCAAATATTAAAGATATAAACTAATGTTTATAAGTTAGAACTTTCAAATACTGGCTGAAATCCGTTCATATGTTTGAGGGAAATGTTACTAGAATACGACTGTAGAACAGTCATAATTTAATAATATTTTCATTTCAATGCAAAATAAATATTTAGTTAGTTGACCATACATTTAAATCAAAATTTAAATAACAAAGGCAGTTATAATTATATTGTATGTAAAACTGGCAATAAACAATATCAAATATATTGGAAACTAAATATCATCCTAACCACTTAAAATACAATTGGTTGAAGAAAAGGACAGTAAAAAAATTGTGTTGAACTTCAATGTATTTCTAAGAGGACTGTAAACTTATGACATCGATTAACGCCTTTAACAAAACTCCAGATGACCATACTAGCCATTGCCATTTAAAATAAGATTGATGAGGATTACAATTGCCAGCTGTCTGTTTAAATCAATTGCAGATACATATAAGTAGTGCTTTTTTGGATGAATGCGAAAAAAAAACAAATGTTAAGGAATCTGAATTTTTATTTCTTCAAAATTTGATGAGCAACGCTCTTTGCTGTTGCAGTTATATCTGTAATTTTCAAATCTGTGCTAGAGTGTAAACGGACGGTTTGTCCATAGAGGGTGTATGTTACAAAATTATTTGTAAAGGAGACACCACCAACTGTTTTAATTGAAGTTGGGTCATACTCAACCTGCAAAAGAATATAAAGAAGAATAAATTATGTTGAATTATTAGATCTGTTAAAATAACTGTCCACCATAATTATGCATATCAAAAGATAGATTTTAATCATGATTCTTTTTCGGGGATGAGGGGAGGGGGGATTTTTTACCCAAATTTAGAACTCATGTCATGGCATAAATTACGAGAATAGATGCAAGATCAAATCAAATCAGATGTGAGATAACCCAGAGCAAACCGTATTTTATTTTGGACTTTGCTCTACCGAATGAAAAAGTACCGGTATATGGCATTGCACGTTGTACTTTAATTTGTTAAGAGCCTTTAACAGTTATGTAACCTAAACATGTACGTCAGTTACCATACATGTTTTCGGCTTTTTCATTTAACATATATTTACCTTAGATACGATATGGTTTGTGAGGGTAGTGTTGTATAGAGATCTTAGATATGCAATGGTTTCAATAGCATTCTTTTGACTGGAAATTGTATTTGCTCCACAAACTGGAAATAGATAAAATAAATGTTGTTTACAGCCTACTAGTATAATACTTACTTTTAAAGTGTTATCGTTATATACTTTCGCTTTCTACTTTTTTCTCCAATATATTCAGATAAGGAAATGCGGCATGACTGTCAAAGAGACAATTATCCACCAAGACAAAAAAGATTTGTGGAAAAGGCTATTGTTTGAACTTTGTACATTTTCCAATTAATTATTGTGAAGCCTATTCGAAGAGATATACAATTTGAAAGTATTCACTTACAAATCTTTTGTAAGATAGAAACAAGGATTGTCATAACATAGACTAGCTGTCTATACGGTATTGGTTTTGCTCATTGTTGAAGGCAATACGTTGACCTATAGTTATTAACTTCTATGTCATTTGGTCTCTGGTGGAAAGTTGTTATACCACATATTGCTATTTTTATATAGATGAAATAATTACCTGATTGTAAAACTTCTTCTTTTGTGTGTTTCTTGATATCAAGTTTATCACACACTGGGCATGACTGTACACAACGTTTACCGAATATATCTAAAAAAAGGAACAGATTTCAAATTTCTTTCATACCTTAGTACGAAACATTTATTCATTGTGTTATGAATACTTCATTACTAATTATTCAAAATTTATTTTCAAACTAATTTCAACATGCGTCTACAACAAAAACCCATTAAGCAAAATCAACGGAAAAATATACTATGAAACTATTAAGTAAAGTAATGGCAAAGGGTCGTATTCTCTATGAACCTAGTGAGGTGTGTTAAAATTATGAAATGTTTAACCCTAAAAATCTTTATGTTAAATAAGTTATTATTTGTTTGTAATAATTGTTGATTGCATCAGAATCACAGGCAGCGGTATGCATAGAATAGACTCTCCTTTTGAGAATATAAACCATAAATCGTGATTTTAAAGGCTTATATTGCTTTTCTTTATATTGTTTTTCTCTCAAAAAATTATTGCAAGGTATATTCAATGGTTTCTTGAAAAATGTTTAATCTCTCCAATTGCATGTTTATCTCTTGCACTTCATTAATATAACCATGAAATGTATAAGTATAACTCACGACCGAGTGTATTTCCTATCGAGTGTCCTACATTCTTGACTCCATCCACGAGTTTGTTACCAAGATCCGTAAGGGAACCACCTATCGAGTCTAATCCTCCTCCTAGTTGGCTAGACAGACCTGTAAATTCTGACCCAAGCCCATTCAAAAGGTCTGTTGTGCCACTTCCTAGACCGTTTACCAGATCAGTAGTGCCAGATGCCAAGCTGTTGCCGAGATCTGCGAATTTCTTTCCAAGACTTTCAAATCCAGCACCTATCGTATCCAAAGTTTTTGTTACGCCATCTCTCAAACCATTGCCAATATTTTTAGAAACGCTTCCAAGGTCTTTGACAAATTCGCCTGCTTCGCCTCCAAGAAATTTGGTAGTGGATGACAATTGTGATCCAATAGATTTTACAAATTCTCCTGCAGCAAGAACTGGTTTGAGGGCCTCTGTTCCAACAGCCACCAAAATAGCTTCATAAACAGGGGGTGGCTGTCTAAGAAATTGTCAAAATATCATAGATTTTGGAAAATACTAAAAATAAATAGAAATACACTTTAAAAAGATATATGAATGTTTGATGTCTTATTTACGTAAGTGAACTTAAAACAACTATTTTATTCATAATACAAATCCCAGAAAGTATGCTTCATCTGTATTTTCAACACTCAGTGACTAAAGAGATGAATCACTCTGTTGTTATTTTATTTTTAAGATATTAACATACAGTCTACAATATACCGAGAACTCGTGAGATGACGGAACCTATTCTCTATGCGCATGAAGTTTCGGTTTTTTAAGTTATAAGTCATGTTAAAGTTTGAAGTTTGAGTGTTTTCAGTTATGATTTATGTTAAACATGAAGGGTAGGTGTTTTAAGTTTTAAATATGCTAAAACATGAGGTAATAATAAAATCTTATCTGTAGCTCATGGCGTTTAGATTCTACAAAAAAAAATCATTAAATACTAGACTCATAATATAATCTAGTACGTCAAACACGCATTTCGCCTACATAAGTGTACATTTGTATGAATTTAACGGTATTTCTAAACAAGCTAAAACAAATTAAATCAGGCAAAGAAATTAGGCATCGAGTCTTACTCTGCACAAGGCATGAAACTGATCTTACTCATATAGGGGTTCACACAAACACTACGTATCTGTAGATCTTATATAAGTTACTTCTTTTAAGTTCTGTTCTTAACTTTTAATATTGAGATGATATTGAATTAGGCTGACCATGTTAAGTGCATTACTAATTATTCTAGAGGGCCGTATGCCTTTGCAGTAACTGAATCATGACAACAATGTTTCATTGGATAGCTATAGGTGGCTTGTTGTAAGTCAATTTTTTAATCCTTCCGATTTTAAATTTGTAATCACCCCTTGTTTGTTTTAAAGGGTTCGTGTAACTCTTGTCTTAGCTATAAGTGTTGTTCTCTGTGATTTTTGATTTTTCAAAGTATGTTTTTTTATAACGAAACAGTCTCGGCTATCCATTGTCATGAAAAACAAGCTTTAATTTTAGATTTTCACATTCGGTCAAGTTTCAGGGTTAGAAAATTTTACATGACCGATTGATTAGAATTTTGTAAAAGAGTCTATTAACAATCCGTTATTGCGTGATGTTTGATCCCTTTATATAACTTGTCAACGTATTTTATTGAAGTAACATGACGGGTGTCAAATTTGGAATAGGATCTGCCTTCCTGAGATCACCTCTGGTACCGATATTTGCAGGGGTTCATGTTGCTCGGTCTTTAGTTTTCTATGTTGTGCTTTGTATACTGTTGTTTGTCTTCGGGTCATTTTTTGCCATGGCATTATCGACTTATAAGTTTGAATATCCATTTTGTATCTTTCGCCTCTCTTTTAATGGCATTAAAAATCAACCAAACCCCATTTCACATTGTTTGACACATTAGACTACTTTTTAAAATCACAAACCGACGTTGGTTATGTTTTGATAATGGTTTATACAAAATTTTAATACGTGTCTACTAGAACGACAAAAGATGGAGATTTGTTCATTTCTATGACAGTAATGTTCATTTCATAATTCGAAAAAATAATGTTGATTAAATTCAAACATTTTGACTTTCGGTATATTTTTTACTTCATATTACCAGATTTTAATGGAATTTTGTATAACAACACATAACAAGGTATATAGTATTACTGATTTTTCAAGGAAACATTTGTTTCCCTACCAAATTTTTCATTGCATTTATTGTTGTGACCAATTTTTTTATGTGTCGCAGCAATGACAGGAGCTCGTTCCTAAATCAGTAAAATTAAAATGAGAGGTTACAACAAACGATAAAAAACTCACGGGACACACAAATCTTGATTACAAGCCTTACAGCTGTCGATAGAACCGTTGATTTTCACTTCACAAGACTTGGACAACTGCTTTTGTTGTACTGCTGTTTTGTTGATTTGTTCTACGATCATTATAAGAATTTCCCGTCTAACTTCAATATCAAGCTCTGAAAAAATAAAAAAAAACTTTTGTTTGAATAACCTTGCACCTGTATGCTTATATAAAATTTATATTTATGATATTTCTTTTGGGAGAGTCAAAAGCAGGAGGATGCCATTAGATTCAAAACCGAAAGTCACAGAAAGATAAACAACGCCGTGAACAATAGAAATAAGACGAAAACACGAAACAAGAATTACAAAACGACCAAGAAATCTTTATATTTAGCATCACAATACCGACAGAAATCGGTGTCAGAATTTTCTGCTCCACTAATGACACTCTATGTGTTACTCTTTTCAAAATCCGTAAATGAATCATAAATGAAAATAAAACTATATCAATGTCATTCGTTCGAAGCGCTTTTCTTAATTTCCCTTCAAAAGGAACGATCAAATTCAAACCTTTGCAAGCCAAGGTCCATACATAATAATCATGAGAATATAATCCAGACCGGCCACAATGCATCATACGGTAGCCGATTGCTAAAATTTTCTAATTCAATCCTATTAGTCAGACTTGTTCACATTTATAATGCTATAACGAGACAAAGAAGCATCGAACGGTTTAGATGTTTTGCAAGGATTCATGAAAGCAATTATAAATTTAAATTATGATGCAGCTATAAAACGTAATCATTCATAAAAAAGTAAATGACAATATGGTTGTATGGAAAGATAAACTACATTTGACAGAATTTCTTTTATATTGTGTCAAATGTAGTTTATATTGCGCTTTCTTTGTAGAACACATTGAAAAAATGTATCTCCTATTTTCACCATAGATGCTGTGCAGAATTATTATATTTTGTTCCGAGTATACATGCAAAAAGAACATTTATGTATAAGATATAGTCTTCTCGTATCTGATATGCCTCAGCCTATATATAATTTACATAGAAGTGATAAATGATTATTTTATCTTGTCTAATGTGTTCTTAAAATAACATTGATAAAACAGGAATAGTGTCATTGTCTGAAATTTGCCAGATGCAGTAACACTTTCAAAAGATGTTTAAATTTATAGGTATAAATTTGAAATGAAATCGGAATTATGTCTTTTTTCTGTCATAAAATTGATACCCCCTTACAGCTTTTGTATGGCAATATGGATCACTGTACTATCTTTTCTTCTTCTAGTTAAATTGCAACGTTTTGCTGATAACTGATATATATAATAATAATACTTGTATGTAAGTCACTATAAAGGATGAATAACGATAGAAATTTGAAATAAAATATGAGCTCTTACAAAATTCTTTCAGAAAAAGATAAATTTGGGTCAATGAACTCGTTTTCTTGCTTCATAACAATATAGGGAAAACGGAAGACGTATTCTTCCTTAGGCGACAATACTAACAATTTCTAAATTTACCACTTTTATAATAAAAACTTGGAAAAAATGATACATTCTTGTTCTGTTTTAGAAATTGTAGTCACCATCTTCGAACGGAGCTTGTTTATGGTTTCCATGTCTACCGTCATTTTACATCAAATTTATGAAAATTTGGATGCCTTTTCAAATAATTCTAAAGAAAATATTTCATTGTGTTTCCAAATTTATAAGAAAATATGTTATACTATTACATCCAATCGCAGCGCTCCTAAGTTGACTTCCTTTACGTACCTGCCTTGGGTGCACAAAAGGTCAACCTAAAGCAGGGAAAATGTAATACTACTTTAGATACTGTTTTTTCTCTTTTAACAATATCCCTAAGTTATCTCTCCTTATAAATCAATCAAAAATACAAAGTTTACGTTAGATGAAACCTTATGAATTTACGCATTCAAGAGAGGCGGAAGATACCAAACTCATAAGTTGAAGACAGTGTGGCAACGTCATGATATAAAAAAAAAAACTAAAGACTGAGCAATATGAACCCCACCAAAAACTGGGGTGATCTCATGTGCTCTGGAATGGTAAACAACTCCTACCTCACATGTTGCACCCGTCGTGCTGTTTATGTGAGTACCTATTCGGTGTGAAGTCTCAGTCGGTGATGTCACATTCGAGGAAATTTTTTAAAGAAGACTGGATTGTCGTTACAATTGGAACATGTCCGTCGTCATCTGTGAAACATATATTCCATAACGATCAACAAACTGGTGGTTTGGCCCGTAAACTTTTCGAAGGGATAACTTCAGACCTTTGTCAAATAGCATTCTTGTAAGCAGCAATCTTCCAGCGAGAAAATCATGTTAGGGAGTGCAATTTCTGTAATATCATATCACTTTTCATGGATGGATGTTCAAGTGGCTATTTATTTGCAGATCAAGAACGAGAAGTTGTTAATGCGATATAAATATGACCCCTGTTTTGTACTAGACCGACACACTGAGATGGCTTTAAACATGTTAGTTCACAAGGTAACAGTCCACAAGAAGACATGTCAGCCTACTCGGACACATTATTCGGCTCAGGAAGTCTTTGTTCTTACTATTTTATGTGATTAGCAAAGAAGCAGCAAATTTGATTAGTCCGTGGTGACTACCAATTCTCGATATAATTTACGGGAATAAAAATGCTGATCCTTTTGTTTAAGTCCCTCCCCTGGAGTTGAAAGAAGATTCTTCTATACACATCAGGTCCTATCTTTTTCTTTTCAATCACTGTGTACCAAAATTATATTAGTGTAATAAAAGAAGACAAAACAGTCTACTTTTTATTCAGGTTTCATGCAATGTATTGTTAAAGGTAGAAATGTGTTCTCGTTCACTACTTATTTTGAATAACAAATACATACTTTGTAAATTTCCATCATCCAAGTTTGCAAAATATTGCCTTTTGGAAATACTTGAACAGTTACATTGGAATACAGCTGCAGTAATAACAGCCAAGAATATAAACGACCGCATGTTGGCAGTACTATTATTGTCCGTTCAAATGTTGAAAGAAGATATCAGTAGTAGTGTTCGTGATATACAGTTCTATGTTACGACTTATCTTCAAATCGAATGAATATTAAAGGGTCATGTACAATTACGTCATAGTTTGGCGCTGGTAATACATACTTTACGGAATATTTATTATCAATGTCTGAAAATTGTTGGTAAAATATGTAACGGAGGACTAATACAAATATAATCCAATAATAATAATGCAATATAAAGCAACATTTTGACAAATTCACAATGTCAAATAAATGCATATGTATAAATTGGCCATAATCCGTTCGGTTCCGTTTTCTAAATACTCTTTGATTAAAATGTAGTAACTTTGACAAAAGCTAAGGTTCTATTTCCCTCGGATTAATTTTGCTTCTTACTTGCGTTGTCCTTCATTCAAAAATGACAAAACTACATGTTAAATGTTCAGTAAATATGAAATAGCTGAAATTTTATTTTCGTTGTAAAGAAGATTTATGATATTTTTAGTAAAACAGTCATTTACAGAACACGGATTTTCTTTTTTATTCATATTTCTTGTGCATATTATACAAATAAATTATTTCTCCATTATCATTATATACTGTAAAACTTTAATGTTTCGTTTTTTTCCCCTACTTTTTGCCAAATATGGTGCTTTTATCATCAAACCCACAATTATGTCACCGATCTGCGGGACCATAACACAGAAGGTATGATATGGCCACTTTTTTTGTCCCTAAAAATCGGAAATCGAACAAATTTCTCGTATGTTCTTCAGCTGCTAACAAAACATTAGTTTTTAGTATAAAAGTATAAACTTATATTATTGAATTGTTTCAACATTACAATTAACGTTCAAATGTACGTAAAAGCTTTTTAAAAATTCTTTTTTTTTTACTTTAAATTGTCAATGAGATTCCTCTGAAGTATAAGAGTTTTTTTTCTCAAATGGCAAATAATTGAAATATAAGAATAAGGAGATGTGATATGATTGCCAGTAAGACAACTAATAACCAGAGAAAGAGGACTAGGACGTAATGCTTAAGGTCACTGTGCGACCTTCAAAACTGAGCAAAACCCATACCGTGTAATAGGCTATACTAGACCCCGGTATGAACAAAATATGAAACAATATAAATGGAAAACCATCGACTTGTGCTACAACACTAAACTTCCAAACCAAATATTTGTATCTTTGAAAGCAAATAGGCAAATTTGAGTAATTTTCAGTAACAAAATCGCTGACTTAATAGTTTCCCAGTGATACATAGATTACTTTCGCTGAAATCTAAAACGTCACTGCAGACATGGATATAGTAAATGAGTTATGAAATATTATACTCTGTAAAAAGAGACAAAAACATGACCATACCAAAAAAAAACGATTATTCACATAAAGGAATTTACGATCGACCCTATTCCCGTAATTTTTTGTACGGAGTTTCCGATGTTAAACTGAACTATCTAAATCTAGGGAAGGACAATTATTGATGTTTACATTAAATTTGTTTCAATTAAATCCCTCGGATGAAATACATGCACACGTCTGCTGTTAAAGGGACGCATTTTGGTGTCCTTAGGAATTCACCTGTCGATAAACTTAATTGCCGAAACGTCCATAGATGTTAACGTTAAAATTTACAGCTTTAATCATCTCAGTTATATTAAATATATCTTGCATATTTATATTTTCCATTACAGAAGAGGCTTTAAATGAGTTGCAGCAAATCAATTTGCAATCTGATTTTTGTAAGGTCCATTTATTGGGTTTCAAATATTCGACTTTTAGCGTTCCTGATGAAGTTAAATCCAGAAAAGCGCTTCGGACACATGGAATTTATAAAGTGTTATTTCATTTTTTACAGCACTGGGTCGATACCGCTGCTCGTTGATCTATCAGTCGCCAAGGATATCATCTGCTCAGGAGTCAGTACCGAGATGAATAACACACCTTTCTTTAATTGTCTGTTTAAAATTAAATTAAGAAATTATTAAGAAGCTAAGGTTTCAAATCCCTCAGGCAAAGTTGACCATAGATGATTTGGTTATATTTGTATGTCCTTTTAAGTCGATTATCTCTTTAACTGTTTCGGTTCTGTTGTATCATTGGCTTTCAAGTATTAGGCTTTGAGCGTTCCTGCTGAATGTAAATCCAGAAAAGCGCCTCGGACGCATGCAATTTATAAAGGGTTGTTTTCATTTTTTATTGAATACTAGAAAATTCAAGCTTGATACGATTGTGTGATAGTTGAAAAGTTATAATTTCAACCGAATTGAAGGGACCACCAAAAGCACGTAATTTATCTAAAATATTCAAAAAGTTGATTACATTCAAAAATGATTAATTCTATTATTGGATCTGCTTTATTAAAAAAAAAGTTGATAACATGTTTTTTAGTTAAGTTAGTCTATTTGCCAATTAACGATTTGCATCTGTTATTTCACACTTTTAAAACAAGTTGCTTCCCTATGCCAATTGTGGACTAGTCAGTTCTAAACAGAAAACAAATGGGCTCAGGCTGAGTTGAAAGTGATATGTATAGGCGTTTTAATCAATTTTGAATGAAAAATATATATTGACATCAAAAGTTATTTTAGCAAAAGATTAAATGTAACTAAAAGATTTGAAAATTTTTAAGATAACACGTGCACACATTACAAACAGACACATTTGTTCTTTCCTCCTGCTCTTCATTACGGATGAAAATTAATGTCCCTCTAAAGGGAAATAACTTTTACAGATGGATTTTCAATTACAGAGCCAATTACACAATTGGTAAATAGACTATTGTAGTAAAAAAATTAGTAAAGAGGATAGAAAAATTAGTTGAAGAACACTTAATTGCTAGAACCGGAGATTAATCGGAATTTGACGAGTTTCTTGTGTAGTGTAGGTAGCCAATACATAGTAAAGACCTTCAATTTCTAAATCCTTCTTCTGACATATGGTATTGATAATTATGATTGTTTACAACTGGACTCGCTGTGGTGCGTACAGAATGGGATGTAGTAGTTTATAATATCATTCATAAGAACATCCATGTCGAATTTACGTCATACCACTATAACTGTTTTGGATGGTTCATCGGCCGATACGAACAAAAACCCATTGCGATTACTTGAAGATGTTTGTTGCTTATCATAGAATTGGGCATATTATTAACCTGTTTATAAATTCATTTATTATTTTCTAAATTTGATATGTGAATATCCACAATATTCATACGTTTATTCCAATAAGAATAAAATGGTTCTTTATCAGATTTCTCCCGTTTATGCCAATTGTTTCACCCGGATGAAACATAATCTTAAATATCTGACGACACACTTTTCCGGAAGATATTAACATGTCCATTTTACAAATATTAAATTTAAAATTGGATTGATTTTTGTCAGTAGAAATCAGTTGATTAGTCTTGATCTGTAGAGTAAAAAAAAACGTTAAAAGGACAAGATGCTCGCTGTGACGGCGTCACGCTGCAAAACCAGTTTCATAAATCACTTAAACTGAAATGATAAAGACGACAAACGAAGCTGGCAACCATTCTATAATGTTTATATTCTCGAAAATCAATTGTTGACTGTAATAAATACAACTTACAAGAATATTCTTAAGACGGAATTTCGAGAAATTGCAATCTGAAAAGTAAACAAATCCTTAAAATCGCACTTTATGCGAACATATGGAGCGAAATCAACATACAATTATCAGTTTATGGCTTAAATATGTTTAAGATCATGTGGATTAAAAAAAATAAGTAGATAACAATAACACAAGGCAAATCAATAAAATACATGTCAAATAAAATCCAATATTTTATTTAAAAGAATTGTATGAGGGATTATGATACGAAGGTGTCGTTTGTGTTTCATCAAATTTACTCCAGTCATTAGACTGTCGTGCTTGATTGTCTATTAGCTATTTCTGTAGCGAAAAACTGTTGTGCTATTGACATCCCTGTCTCGTCTGGTGATGAAATGTTTAGGACACCAGCCATCAATTGCATCTGTTTCCCTCCGATTGTGAAAAAGGAGTCCATGTAAACCTGATTTGGACTATCCGGTTCAGCGGTAGACAAATCATACTCAATCTGAAATTGGAAATAAAATTAGTTAGCATCACGGTCATGTAATCTTTTATCCATTGTCTACATAGCATGGATTCCAGTGTCACAGCTTGATAGTAGAGCCAGACGGAATACAACGACATGAATTGATTTATAATTGGTTGTAAGAATGATGCACTGTGGGAAAGCATCATTACTTAACATATGGCGGGATTTATTTCTATTTGGAGTATTTCTGCGAAACTGGCTTAGTATTATTACCGAACATTGCTATTCATGGCAGTAAAAACATGCCTATATTCAGTCCAACATCAATTGATTTTGATTTTTGAACTGTTACTTTATGATTCCTTAATTTGAATTTAGAAATATTTATTGGTTTAAGGTCTAAACCTCATTTAGTAAGAATTTGTTGTGGTGCGTTGTTAGTTTTCTGACATATAGCTACAGATTTAATTAAGAGTTCAGTTGCGTATGAGCGAGACCGTATAAAAAAGTAAAATAAGGGCTCAGGATTCTACAATTTAAGAAAAATATTATAAAACTTAGAAAAAGAATTAATTTCTATTTGCCATCAACAACAAATCCCCTGCCATCAAAATATTAAGATTGATCAAAAGAAGGTTCCAGAGTTGGGACAAGCACATGAGTTTCTCGTGATGTCAATCCATTTTAAATCTCGATCAGTTAAATGGCAAACGAGGTAATATTATATGTATGATTAAACAATAGTACCAGGTGCATCAAAACAATGATATCTCATACCGTATCTAAGAATGCTTGATGTTTCTTAAAGCATGCTTAACAGATCTCCTTATTTTCATATTTTTAAAAGTACTTAACAGATGATGCGAAATCGTGCCGGTGTACAATCTAAAATCGGTTGTACTACCAGAGTAGCTTTCATACTCTAAAGTCATAAACAGCACTGGGGAAAAACAATCTTATTTAATACCAAAAATAACGTTTGATAGAATTTCACTGTAGAAAATAATAGAAATATTTTTCATCTTGCGTTAAACTATGGATTTTATGTTAATGAAATGCAGTTGAAAATAAATTTACTGATTAGGTGAGTAATAACTATATTTTTTTTAAATTCAAATTTCTACTTTTTTGGCAAAACTGTACAGCTTAGCTAAGAAGAGCCACAGACAAATTGTATTGGGAATACAAACCTTTGTTATCTGTTCGTTGTCTTTTGTTTTATTGTACAGGTCTTTTAGAAATGTTATTTCGGCCATTGCTTCTTTCTTTTGTTTTGTTGTATCTGAACCACAAACTATGATAAAAAGTACATTTTATTATCTTGGGTATTCAATACTCAATATAATTGTTCATCAAGTACGTTATAATTTCTAACGAAGAATTAGTCTGTAATACACCAAATAAACAATGCATTTGTATAAAAGAGCATAATTGGGAGTACAAGTATACATAATTTTTAGCTTTTCATTTCAGCACTTGTCGTATATTGAAAGACCACAATTTGCCTATAGGGTATTACATATCGGTATTATGATTACAGACATTGATCCTGGACATGCACACCAAGCTGATATATAGAAGAGGGGTGACACGGAATGCTCATTTTCCAAATCCCACTTCTCTTTGTAATATTTCCCACTTCTAACTAACTTTTTCCCGTCTTTTCCCAGATCCCACTTTTTTGCTCTCTGATAAGTTAATATTTGTAATTGTAAATGTAGGTGACCCACAAATCACGTCTAATTAGGGAAATACTTAGAACTCGTAAGATACGTGTATGTACAGTAACTAAACTTTGTTTTCATACAGGTTCCGACATGTCTAACTCACATTTTTCATTTAATAGACATAACAACATTATAAGACATTTAGACATTATAGTCAATACAATAATAGTAATTAAAGTATAAATTTTTCGAAAATGACACAAAGAAATGTTAGGGAATCTCATTAACATCAGCTGTTAGTTTTCGCTAGTGTAGCGTATCACAACATCGTATTTTAATCAGATTGAAAGGTTAGGGAAACTGATTTTAATATGAACCTAAATTGTTTGGAAAAGAATACGGAATTTCGCCCTATACGTTTGGAGACTGATTTAAACAGATACCTACCTGAATCAATGATCTGGCTTATAGTGTTTTTTTTAATGTCTAATTTGTTACAAGATGGACAAGATGATACACAACGTTTTCTCCTGAAAAGTTTTCCCAGTGTCCCTGAAATAAATTTCAAAAATACGTCAATTCATGCGTTCACGTTTTGGCTACTTACTGTATACCGGCAATTTGATGTATTGGATGAAGAAAAAAAATATAGCATTAAGTGCACATTAAAATACAGGATGGCATTCTATATATTAGTTAAAGATCCATGTACCAAACAATTAAACATCGTTGGTAACTATTTATGATGTTCAGTTGTAATTGAAAAAAAAACCCAAATACTCGAACGAAATGAAAAACAAACAGAAATTTCAGCACTGTTCCTGAACTGTGATGGTCATACCCTTTTGTCAAATTATGTTACACATCTCTTGGGGGTAGCACTATTATTATAAATTATAATAATTAAATTGTTTTGATATAAAGTCTTTCATTGGGCTAAGAACCATACAATTCGTAGACAAAAACTTAAACACTTTGGAATTAATCTATTGCTCGGGCAATATTTACTAATTTGCTTTTTGTAAATAAAGGCTTTTGAGTTGTGCTCTTAGTTGAAGGCAGCAGACACAACTATTACTATAAAAATAAGAAGATGTGGTATGATTGCCAATGAGACAACTCTCCACAAGAGACCAAATGACACAGAAATTAATAACTATAGGTCACCGTACGGCCTTCAACAATGAGCAAAATTCATTATGTATTTATTCCCTTTCTACAGTGTCAGTTTGTATTGAAAAAAGAAGGTATTAGCGGGGTAATCAAAACATAAGCTAAAGACAGACAGTCAGCACTATGTCAAAAACAAAATAAAAGCAAACAGACAAACACCACACAGGAAATATGAAATAAACAGCACGATCACCACAAAAAGCTTCCGATGAACTCACTTGCTTGGAAGGGTAAAAAGTTTCTGCTCCACTAATGGAACCCGTTCTAACTGTACATTATTTCGTACCTGTTCATTGTCAATTTAGATAAAACATATAACATACCTTTAACATTCAAACCATTTACTTTCCTACACGATGGTCATTAATTTATTTTATAGTTATAATAACATTAACGAAATCGATTTTACTGCACCTTATGTACACTTAATATTTGAACATCAAAAACTTTAAACAAACGATGAGGAGCTGATAAAACAAAACAAAAACAAAAGTTGCCAAAACCAGATTGAGATACACTCTTAGATTTCCAATGATTTCCAAAATTCCATAACAGCAAATTTCAATAAAACAATAACCGTATGTTAATGCAAGTACCGCAGCACAGTAGGTAACTGAGCTTGTGATACACTTGTGAACTAATTCTATTCTTATTGCCTTAGTTTTATATTGATTCGAAAATAGATTGGTATTACTTTGAATATCTTTAAAATTTGAAACTTACTCTCCCAAACAGGTAAGACTGCATCTTTGATAGTATTTAAAACGACAGGTGCTTTTTCTGATATTGTCTGGCGAACTGTTTTCAATGCATTTTCAAAGTCTTCGAAAGGCTTACCAATGAGCCCCTTTATATCGCCTATAACATTGGTAACATCACCACTAATAGCTTGAATTATCTCCCTTCCGGCATTCCCAATTGTTCTTCCAAGTGACTTAAACGCATCAGCGGCGGGGGATGCTATATATTTTCCACCTTTTATAAGCACCTTAGCAACTTCTAGCAGATCATCTCCTATGTTATTTAGAAACGGACCCAATCGATCTCCCAAGAAGTCTTTAGCTCCGACTGCCCATTGTGCAATTTCCTTTAAAACCTCTCCGGCATAGGTAATCGGACGGTAATTGCCTACTGATATTTTACTTAACACTGCCTCAGATAAAGATGGAATTTCTATACTAAAACAAAATTAATTTCAATATTAATTTAGCATTTAAGTAAACATGTGTAATGTACAAGTAATTGTCTGGCAATAGGTATAAGTATTAGTTTGACGATTTTGCAATGTTTTATAGTAAATGCCGTAAATTCAATGCAAAATTTTGATGGACAAACGTACTAAGCTAACAAAGCTAACAAAACCTTTAAACAGACTTATTAAGAAGGGATATAGTTACGATACTGTTGTCAGGTCATTAAAAATTGCATATTTTGGCTTTAATATTGATTCACTTATAGGGTCTTTGCATCGGAATTAAACATATTTATTCTAAAACCAGTTGTTGGCATGACACGGGTTATGTTCTTCTCATATATTTTATGACGGTATAATACTAAACCCCTAACAGGAGGGATTGTACCTGATATTCATATGATGAAGACATAATCTTTCAATCTGTTTAATTGAGGTCTGGAGCTGGCATGTCAGTAACTGCTAGTAGTCTGTTGTTATTTATGTATTATTGTCATTTTGTTTATTTTCTTTTGTTTCCTATTCTGACATCGGACTCGGACTTCTCTTAAACTGAGTTTTACTGTGCGTACTGTTGTACGTTTGTTTTTTCTACATTGGCTAGAGGTATAGGGGGAGGGTTGAGATCTCAAAAAAACATGTTTAACCCCGCCGCATTTTTGCGCCTGTCCCAAGTCAGGAGCCTCTGGCCTTTGTTAGTCTTGTATCATTTTTAATTTTAGTTTCTTGTGTATAATTTGGAGTTTAGTATGACGTCCATTATCACTGAACTAGTATACATATTTGTTTAGGGGCCAGCTGAAGGACGCCTCCGGGTGCGGGAGTTTCTCGCTGCATTGAAGACCCATTGGTGGCCTTCGGCTGTTGTCTGCTCTATGGTCGGGTTGTTGTCTCTTTGACACATTCCCCATTTCCATTCTCAATTTTAAAACGTATCCTCCTAAATTTCATACTTAGCAGAGAAACGATGCAACAATAATCCTAGTATGTTTAAGATCAGAAATAAATTATATTGGTTTGAATTTGATCTTCTATGATATTTAATTCACTTCATAATTTGAAAATATAGTATATCAAAAAACAAAAAAATATTTACTGATTTACCAATTATTTCAATCTGTAAAAGCTTTGAAGAGTTTTTACTTAGCCCTCCGGAGCACCTGATTTCACCCAAGGTTTGAGGTGAGTCTGGCTCATTCTTTAGTTTCTATGTAAAGTGCTGTTATTATTGTTTGTCCCACTGCGTTTTCATTTTTGGCCATGGTGTTGTCCGTTTTTACATTAACTTGGTTTCTTGCAGGAGTTTATGCGAATCGCGCATGTTTTGTTTTTTTTTAAATTGATTCGTATCTTCGCAATAAATTTGTGAGATTTGAACATTGCCTTTAATTTATTTCCCATAATATTTTCGATTGTCCAGTTGGTATCCTCTCTCTGTTTTATTGAACATAACGCCTTATTTTGTCAATGGCGTACTAATTATATGAGCATAAGTGTTTTTTTATCAAACTGTATGTAATTGGCAGTTGATACTAACCAAGCTCTCCGACATTCGCAGGTTATGACATAAGTTAGCAGTCTACAGCACGGTCATAAATCCCACTAAATCATACTTAAATGATATGAAAGAAAAGTATTTAAAGGAACATAATATCATTCATTTCGTGCGTCCGAAGTGCTTTTCTTGATTTTACTTCATTATTCCTGCCTTTGTACAGGCATTTTCCGATGAAATTGGTGGGTTAAACATGGTTGTATAGCTACCTAAACCCCGCACCTGTATGCCAGTTGTTTATAGTTCCGTAACATTGACAAAATTGGTGAGTAAGAAGTACAACCTTCTAAACTCATCATAGATACCAGGATGAAAATAAAATTATACGCCAGGCGTACGTTTCGTCTATAAAAGACTTATCGGAGACGCTCGGATCAAAAAAGTTAAAAAGGCCAAATAAAGTACGAAGTGAAGGTATATAGGACCAAAGGGGCATTTAAATAGCCAAAATCATCTGATGAGTTGAATCGCAGTCATACATTTTTTAAAAAATAGTATACTAATAACGTAAAACAAAATAACTTGCCTTGCAAAGTGACCAATATTTAGTACCTCATTATCATATCAGTTAGTCGCACCAATTCGTTTGTTTTCATATCATTTGTGTGTGATTTATTGGGATTGATAACGTGTGTTCAGAAAAATAGACTGTTACTCGGTCGTTATTTGCCAAGTTTGAATTATTTATACATTCCGAAAGTATACTGAATATTTTACAGACGGAACCAATATATCAGAAGGACGACTTGATCCACTTGATACACAAAACTAGTCTTTTCAGCGTTATGATATTAAAATTGTAGTATATTTTAACGGAAAATAATATGACTGTAAGAAGTCTGTATGTACATAAAATGTATCTTTGGAATCAAGTTTAGTTATATCATATACATTTTTATTGATACAATGTATCTTATCAAAAGATAAAATTCAAATAAACTTATGTTTTTAAAAATGTTATTCCCTATAAATGTACAAAAACAACTTACTTAGTACAGAGATCTGCTTTACACGTAGAACATCCATCTATTGTACCGTTTAATTTACTTTGGCAGTTTCCAGCCAAATCAGATTGCGTAGATACAGTATCATTCAATCGATCTGCTATCAGGAACATCAGCTGCTTCCGAGCTTCCTTGTCAATACCTGAAAAATTCTAGTTAGTCATAACATTCTCTTTTAATATGACTGTTTTGCCGAGTGTGAAATCGCATTGCTATACGACGTGTCTCGGTAGTTATACATCCTACATTCATGTAACTATATAGTTATGATGTTTCTTTTGTAAGTACGGTTCGATATTGTGTTATGTCTTATCGTTTGTGGTTTATATTCTGTATTTTCGGCACATTTCACATATGTCTTATTTGTCAGTCTAGTCGAGTTAATTTCCATTTTCCATGGATAAAGTATTGTGTTAGTCCAAATAATTATGACGTCGTCACAGCATTAATTTAAAAAGCCTTTCAAGACCGTCATAATCATGATAATCATTTGGACTAGTATTGTGAAAATAATTGTGATTTTTTGAATCTCGTTCCATATAATTGTATGAATTTCAAGATTAAATATACGTCACAAAAGTACGTCACTTTTTGAAGCGTTGATCCATTCATGTGACGCAGTTTATGGTGTCCTATGCTGTCGTTAATTCATGGTAGATGTCCGTTGTTATTCTACAGTTTACATGTTGTAATGTACTATCATAATTTTTATTTATGTATTTCTCTGTGTTGAGTGTTCTTGCGTTTGTTTGTACTGTATTCCTGTCACGTACTGTTGTCATTTTAGCAATATTTTTTAACATTGCCATATAAGCGGTAGGTTTGGCTAGCCATAAAACCAGGTTCAACCCACCATTTATTCTTAAAATGTCCTGTACCAAGTCAGGAATATGGCAGTTGTTATCAATTAGTCCGTTTCTATGTATGTTGGCGTTTGATTTTGTTGCAGTTCAGTGTTTCTGTTGTTCCGTTGCTTTTCTCTTATAGTTGATGTGTTTCCCTCGGTTTTATTTTGTAACCCGGATTTGTTTTCTCTTAATCGATTTATGACTTTTGAACATTGGTATACTACTGTTGTCTTTATTAATCACTTTAATTCCTATCTGAGTAGCAATTAATTGAAATAGGAAAGTAGCAGTGATTAATGTAAACATATTTAATTAAAGAAATCGTTATGTATAACTACAAGAGTAAAGACATAAATACGAAATATACAAGTAATTCAATAATTGGGATATATGATTAGCTCATATATTCTTCCAATACCTTGATTAACCGCAGGTTACCTGACTGTAATTGATATATAAAATGTCATTTACGACCTTACTCCACTCGGTTTGTAAATAATGTTGTTGTTCTAAAACAAAAGTTCCAACTCCCTGCGGCTAAGTTGACCTTCGAACCGATTTTGATTGATCTGTTCAGGATTTCTTTTATGCTCATACATTTTGGCCTCGAGCGTACATGATAAAGCGTCTTCATTGAAGAAACAGGTTTCGTGAGCAGAAAAATCGTTTTCATTTTCTGTTACCTCAACTAAATTGTTGCCGCTGCTGACGGACTTCCGTTCTGGCATGATTAAGTTATTTATTCTAACTGTTACTGTTAAGTCTACGATTATTTTAATTATACTTAATCCTCCACGTACAGTTGATCTTACTTGAGTTTTGATCTTCTGGTTTTGATGTCCCTTGTTTTTTTGTGTGTTTTAAGTTTTTTTATGGAGTTTCTTTTTAAGGAAAAACATTTCAAACAACCAACTTTTCAAGTGCTAAGCACGCGCAATAAGGAGTAAGACCAAAGACTGATCGGCTCAGCGTCAGAATAATGTGTCTGGGTAGGGTGACATGTCTTCCTGCGGGCTGTCACCATGTGAACTAGCACGTTACAAATCCGACTCAGCGTGTCGGTCTAATACAAAGCAGGGTTATTACTCATTCATCGTCCTGAATATGCATTTAATTTGCCGTTGAACGTTAAGCAGTCATTCATCATCATCATCATCATTATCATCAAGTTTTAAAAAGGCAAAACAACAAACTACAAAGACATTCCGTTAGTAGGTGATAAAAATAAGAAATTTAAAGTACTTGTTTTCTTGATGATATTAGTATTTTGTATGTCATGTTAAATGTCTCCAAACAGTGAGATAAAATTTACATGCAGTTTGTGAAATATTAATTTTTAACTTACTTTTGACAATGGTAACATCAAGTTCCGTCACATTTATTGCTTGGCGCTTATATCTTCCTTCGGCGAACGTACACGAGAAGTAAAGAAAACAATAACAAAATAGATAAACTGAGATTGTAGTCATCGTAAAAGTTATAGCTTGCACAGTCATTTAAATGTAGAGGCTAAAATACATAACTTGTAGCTCTGTTTGTTTTATACCTCCAAATACACATTTATAGAAATACAACGTACGTTTGTTTTGACATGTTAAGTTGTATACTAACGCATGTAAGTTGTCAAAACTTTTGACATGATTTACCTTAAAACATTTCCTTATTTACAAAATTTCATTCAGACAATGTAATACTACAGATGACTTGTCATAAAAATAAATCATTCACATTTATTTTGTCTAAATAAGGAAGTATTCATATATTTTACTGGTCATCCTATACTTCGAATGGGTCGACTGAGAATTATTTAGACAGTTAAAACAATGACAAACGAAATAGCTTTTTACGTGTATTTAACTCTTGTGTTGAAAAGAGACACATGTATGTGTGTCTTGCAAAATTGTAACTATCTATGTCTAATCGTCACATTTGTTTGGGACATCTGATACAGAAGCAAAGGATACTAATGCGTCCTACTTTATCTCGTTGTTGCAACCAATAATAAGCATCCACAATTTGCCGGACAATTTACTTACGTCATCAAATCGGTTACGTGAATTTGATAGTATTTGCAAAGGAAAACAAGCATGCTGTATATATAAACACTCGTACTCTACTGTAGGGTAAAAAAAATAGAAGCCAATACAGATCTAGACTTTCTATGTTCTATCATCAATAGATTCGTATAGCGTTTTGAATAAGAAAGAAAAAATGGGATCTTCAGCAGTTTATGAATTTAAAATAACTAGGGTTTCTATTTCTAGTTAAAATACTCTTAGTCATCCTGTTGGCTTGAGAGTTGTTTCGGAGTTAGAATCAGTGATTTTTACAGGTTTACAACACTTGTATCCTCCGTACCATAGTTAAATCATATGTCCTTTTTGGTTCGTAGATATAAAATATTATATGTGATATATAATTACATTCTGCAACGCGGATAAGGTAATTATTCGTATTTTCTTTTTTTTTCTTTGGAAATGCAACATATAAAAGACTACAGTAAATAATTGATGTTTATTGTAAGTAAAACGTAAAATACAATTAAAAATACAATTAAACAAAAACAGGATAGTAAAAAAATATCACACCCACAATTTCAACAAGCATATTTTAAAACATTACACACAATTATATTGATGAAGACATATTGTCATTTTATTGCACATTTTTCATTTTTATATTAGTCTGAAAAGTCTGTTTGCCAATTCCCGTAATTGACCCTGTAATTAGAGATCCCTTTTTTAGTTGTCTCCCTTAGGAGGGACATCAATTTTTATTAACAATGGAGAGCTAGTGGAAAGAGCAAATTTAAGTGTGCATAATGTGTGTAACCTTTACGTTTTTCAATTTTTTAATTACATTTAATTTGTTGTTAAGGTAAACACTTTGGATAACCGAAGTTATTATTCATTAACAATTTGTGAAATCGCCGATATATCACTTTCAACTTATCATGCTTTGCGTGGGCAAAAGCCAAGTTTGTCCGGTATAGAACTAGTCTTCGATTGACAAAGGGATTCCGAAAGTAATTTGTTAAAAAATTGTGTAATAACAGAATCAAATCGGTAATGGGCAAATGGACTATTGACTAATTGGTCTATGTAGTAACTCTAGAACATTTTAGCTAATACGTCTTTTGATATTTTTATGGCCATGTCATCTATGTTAGAGAATTGAAATAGTCCGGAAAGTTGAAATCGTTTCTTGATTTTGTCCGTTTGGAATGTAATAAAGGATTTCTTGAAGGCCATTTTCCCGCCAACAACAACAATACTGCTAGTTTCATATTCCACCTGAAACAAAAAACATAAAGTACAGGTTATTGTAGTTATCAATTTAAAATGTATTATTATAAAACATTAGTCGTGAAAGTAAAAAAAAATCAAAATACCAATGCAAGAAGACAATCATATATTGTAATTTAATTAAGGCTATTCAACAATAACAATGCTGTTGTCTGTTAAACTTTGATTTAAAGATTGGTATTTGTTTATTTTTGTAACGACTGTTTATTACACGCAAATCTGAAGCTGGAGGTGTCACATCACTAATTCAACCAATTAGCATTGAGAACGTAGGTCAAAGTAGCCCAACTTTGACAAAACATAGTGCTTTTGTTTACTAAAACAAGAAAATGAATTGCATAAATGAAAAAAAATATGATGAATTAGATATATATATATATATATATATATATATATGTGGGCTCATTTAACTTGTCCATGAATTTTCAATGGAATATTTAGTTTAATGTGCTACATTGTTTTGCTTATTGTGATATAAGTTTAATTTAGAATATACCTGGTTTTCACAAAGTTAACGTTAGGGTAAAATATTTAAAGATCTGTGAAAATTCAAACACTTGGTTGAATATAGGGCTTTGGGATTGGTTGAATGAGACCTGGAATTATTTGGATTCTGAAGAAATATAGTTAGGTTATAAATTTTGAAGAAAAAATATAGTTTGTTTAGAATCTTGGTCACCGTAGGGAACTTGTCGCACCAACAGAACTGAAATTGATCCATACACAAATTTTCATATTTTTACATTTTTATAGTGATTCAATAATGGTTAGTTGTTTTGTAAAAGAAAGTAAATAATCAGTGGAGCATGTTGAACATGAATCAGTTTTAAAGAACAATAAAAAAGTCTATTAGCCTGTCCTTAATTGTTAAAAATCGTAATTACATGCAAAAAATAAGTTTGAGAATGGTTGTGTAAATGAAACGGTAATTGTATGTGCTGTTCATTAAATATTTGCTGAAATAAAAAATCATTAACATCTAGAAAAAACCTGTTGCAAAAATCCTCGCATGGTAAAAAAAAGTTCCTTATGTGTTTTATATCTTTATTTATCATTTTGACTCTGAATGTTCCTAAGGAGGGCAAAATATAAAAGTGTAAAAATGCATCAAAATTTTGCGTTTTACTTTTATTTACAAATAAATTCACAAAATACAGATTTTATATTAGGTAATATTAATTCAATATGTAAACTTAACTCTACACTGCATTTTTGTATAAAAGAATGATCCATACAGTTTTAGTTTTTTTAAATTATTTTAAATCTATAACAGAAGTGATGATCACCTTTGCATTTTTAATACATGTTAATATACAAATAATATTAGTAATGGGTTTTATTTGTCGTTAGGTTGCTGTAGCAGTGACGTTTACCCCACATCTTGTTTTATACATAATAAATCAAGGTCTGGTCGTTAATATGATCTCAGATATATTAACATCCCATTTTATCCGAAAAGGGTTATACATGTATAAGCAAAATAACCGTTGTAACAATAAAAAAAAACAAAAAAAAATTAATCATACTAGTTATGACTTCATAATGGATTGTATGATATTAAGATACTGATAAAATGTTTACCTTTGTAACTACAGGTTTATCAATAATGTAGTTGTATGTGTCTTCTAAACCTCGCACTTTGTCAAATATCTGTTTCTGTCTTGAAACAAAACTTGACCCACATACTGCAAATTAAGGAGAAAAATGTATATAATTTAGATACCATCCTTTTTATTCTTTACATTGCCTTTTATTTAAACTTCAAGCAGAGAAAATATTAATTCTCTATAAATTCTCGTTTGTTACAAATGAAGTATAAGCGGAGGGCATCAAGTCATTTCTTCCAAAAGTCAACAATCTAATATAAATAGACATGTTTCACATTGCTATATGCACTTACTTTTTCCAACTATTTGTTCTTCGGTGTTCTTATTTGTATCAAGTACATTACAAACTGGACAACTGTGTACACATCGTTTTGCAATCAAATGTCTTGTGGATCGTTTTCCAAAAAGTTCTGAAAGAGAAAATACCAAAATTGTCGAATAGTGTAATATCGTGATACGAACAAAACAAATTGGATCATTAAAACTTGCATTTAAAATTAGATAAACATTTAAAAATAAAAGGGAGATGCCAAAGGGGGACTTGCTTAATATATCTTGAAAATCTATGAAAAAAAATTTCGACGGCCAATTATTTATTAAAATCGTATGAATTCAAAACGTTATTGTTATCAATCATCACGAAATAAAATAAAAAACGTTAATTGATTTCGATTTATGCAACTATAAATTAATAAACACATTTATCTATTTATTATAACATACTTTTAATTCCACCCCAAATCTTTTTGCCAGTTCTCTTGATACCGTGTCCAACTTTCTTGCCAAATCTGCCCAAACCTCGTCCAATATTTTTACCAAATCTGCCAACACCTCGTCCAATTTTCTTTCCAATTCTGCCAACCCCTCGTACAATATTTTTGCCGATTCTGCCAACACCTCGTCCAATATTCCTGCCAATTTTTGCGACTCCCTTTCCTAATCTTTTAACATGACTTCCTATTTTTGATCCGATTTTCTTAATCCCACCTTTAACCTTATTTAGAACTCCTCCAACTTTTTTTATGGTACGTCCAACTCCTCCTCCAATTTTTTTAAAAAACTTTCCTATTTTCTTTCCAAATCTAGCAGCTTCCTTTCCCACTTTCTTACCAATTTTACCAATGAACTTAGCTATTTCTGGAACAGGTTTGATCACTGTTAGTAACTTTCCTATGTCTGGTCTAGGTATTCTATGAAGAATACAAAAGATGACAACTTCAAATATTATACTAGTAATACTTAAGTTATATTAATTGGCTGTCAAATATGGTATTCAAACATAAAACACTGCAAATATGTTATGTTGTTAACAAAAACACATTATATGTTTTGGAGTTTAGTGTGACGTCCATTTTCACTGAACCAGTACACAATTTTATTTAGGGGCCAGCTGAGGACCACCTCCGGGTGCGAGATTTTCTCGCTGCGTTGAAGACCCATTGGTAGCCTTCGGCTGTTAAAAAAGAGGGACGAAAGATACCAGAGGGACAGTCAAACTCATAGATCGAAAACAAACTGACAACGCCATGGCCAAAAATAAAAAGACAAACAGACAAATAATAGTACAGATGACACAACATAGAAAACTAAAGACTAAGCAACACGAACCCCACCAAAAACTGGGGGTGATCTGCTCTTTGGTCGGGTTGTTGTCTCTTTGACATATTCCCCATTTCCATTCCCCATTTTATTCCTCAGTCAAAAACCATTACTGAAATTAGCTTCAAGTCTGAGACAAATATTATCTTTCCCTGCTGAATGTATACATTCAACACATAAAAGTGTCTCATATATATTGAAACCTAACGAACAACAGACATGTGTATCACTCGAGTTTCTTACACAATAAAAGGTTGAGTATTATGTAACATTCAACGTGTTCTGTTAAAACGTGTACATGTATGAAAAAAATGCCGAGTAAATCACCTCATCAAATTATGTGTCTGTAGTAATTAAAAAAAAAGAGAAGAAAGGGATATTCAAACTCACAAGTCGAAAACAAACTGACAACGCCATGGCAAACATTTTAAGACAAACAACAGTTTTAAAAACACAACATAGTAAACTAAAGACTGAGCAACAAGAAGATAACCTTGTATTTAGGCAAAATTGGTACTATAATTATCTTAAAGAGAACATATTCCTGATTTCAAGATGATAGGTCTATACAGGAGACAGACTTCAATATATGACTTGTCACTATAAAACCTTGTAATAAGGGATCAGTTTTTGAAACATTTGAGGTAATATTTAGCTTTCAGTATGTTGTATTTAATTCCAACATAATTACATTTTCTTGAGTTGTTTTGCCTAATCAATATATCAGTTCTACTTACTCCGGATCCTGTGCACAAATATTGCCATGACATTCATCACATGCCTTTATTGTTCCGTTAACTTTAGTTTCACATGATTGTGTTAGAATCTGCTCCTCATCTGCCGTGTCTTTAATCTCATCGACGATATAATTAAGAATATCTGCGCTTGTTTGGTCGTTTATTACTGAAATATTTAAAATTTCAAATTATTTAAGATATTGTATTAATTTCATAATATCTTAATTATTTTAGTATAAATTTGTGTAAGGTTAGCTATACTCCAATTCGTGAACTATTCTTTAAAAATTGTGGTAACAAGAAATTGAACAGGGAAATAAACTGCCTTCTGATATTAAAATGATAGTTGACTATTGTTTTGAACGAAATAGCTAATGCGTCGACAATAATTATTTACATATACTTATATTTTCCTGATTCCCTATATTGCCCAGCAGCTACAGTATAAACAAAATGGAAAGGATACATTGTAGATATAGATGAATAAACAATTATAAGCAAGGAACAGTGGTTTTACTGATGTTCTTAATCCTGCTATGTTTGAGGTCTTTGACAATAATTTGAAAAGATCACACCTGTAGTCACTAATAAATAAATTGTTTAATCAATTAAAATAAAGAATATGTGTTGGATGCACGTTAGACAAAAATCTAATGAAAACGAGAAAAGAACCAACTGTTTAAGAATTGAATAGCGCTGTTATTGTCGTACTTCATCTTTCATGAACATGTGTTCACCAATGACCCAAAGCTCACACCTCAACTTATATAGATAGGACAAAATGGCCAATAGCGCATTGAATATAAGCAACATGAGCGTGAATAAATATAATATCCGTAGCACAACCCGTCTTTTTTAAACAACCTCCATCAGCAACGCTTCAGACCAGAAATATACAAAATAAAAAGAACAACTTTGAATAAAACATCCTTATAATTGTGATTTTGTCGATTAAAAATTTGCACCTTATAGTTTTTTTCATTGTTACAATAATTTATGTTTTTTTGAGTTAAGAAGTATAGTTTATTTTTGAAGTATTACAATTTAAGATTAAAAATATGTGTTGCTAAACTTTAAATAATTGTGGGTGGACTGCATAAATATATATTGTAATGTAAACTTGGTATGATAATATTTACATGCATATTAATAAATCAAAAAAATTAATCGGCTTAAAGACAAATAATAATTCTTAAAAGTTTAACTTACTATCCAATTTATTTTGTTGGATTGAGAGTAATTCTCCATTGCAAGTACAAAGTGCTGCAACTACTGCCACGAAAAGACGAATGGACATGTTATATGTATTACAAGCTGGATGATGTTGTCGCAGATTTTAATGTATTCTTATATAGCAAAATTACGGAATTTCTGAGAACTAATTAACATAAAAACAAACCTATTGAAATTTACGTGATATGATTAGCCAACTGTGTTTATAACACCAAGGAATGTTTGTGTTTCATTTGAGTTGGATATTTGAAAAATATACATTTTTGCTTCACTATCATTTTTTACTTTCACGAAAAATTAGATTTTTGTTTTTAAAGTATGTTTTCATATCTTAAAGGATAGAAAATATCAGAATTAGTTTTAACTTAAATGCACAAACCTTTTACGTACCCCAAAGGAACTTATGTAATTTTACCGCATGTACATGCTAAACAATGCGATTACGTACTTGTCATATTTATAATGCATTATTTTTGTTTATATATTTCTTGGGAAACCACATCGAAATGGATTTTTTTAGCTATTGATGACATTTCAAATGCGTATTCTTATATGTTTAAATGTTTTCAAGAGTCGATAATAAAATAATATTCCCTTCACTTTCACAGATGTATTCTGTATCCTGTTGCAGATCAAACCTACTTAATCTTGGCCAAATTCACATGTACATGAAGATTTTCAAATACTGTAAGAAGATAGCAGTTAATTAAATCATGTTACACTCAACAAGATTAACACAATATGACTGAGCATCGTTAACAGAAAACAATAGACTTAATATTCAAGGTCAAATGCAATTTTATCTCAGCATAGTGTATTTTGTTATATGGTCAAGAAGTACTTTGTATACTAGTATTTGTAAGATGGTTCAAATAAGATCCTATCATGAATAAAAACAAATATGTTCCTTACATAATAAGCGAGAATTATACAAACAACAATGAAAACCAACTTTATTATACTACTCTGGCCGCCACCAAGTTTCTAATTTTGTTACAGACATTATAACCGCCACAGGTCCTAGCTACATGTAAAATATTGTCTATCTGTTAAAATGGTTTTGTTATTTTTCTGGCCGTGACACCTCGTACTGGATATAAATTTCAACTACATGGAAGCTGAAACATGCATAAAAAGGTATAAAACTCAAAGAACTTTTTTCTATGATGTCATGTGAAGAATTCGTTCAAAAACCACCGGTTATTCTCTATTGAAAACTGTTCACTTTCTTTTCGTCCTATATTTTTCGCCTTGCTGTTGTCTGTCCTCTGTATAAAATTGAAGGCTGCTTTAAGCCATCAAAATTTGAGCCAATAGTTCTCATCTACCTTTCAATTGATATATCCGTGGAAAAAGGGAAAGGAGAATTTCTCAAAGAAGCATCGTCTGTGCCTGTGCAAAGCTACAAACCTAACTGGAGTATAAATAAGGAAATGTTATATGATGCCAATAAGACTATAGTCTAAGCAATTTTAAATCACCGTATGCTTTCAACAAAGAGCAAAATCCTTAACGTATTGTCAGCTATATCATGCCCCTATATGACAAAATGTGAAACAGTTCAAACGAAAAAAAAAAACAAGCCTGATTTATGAAAAAACAATAAACGAAAAACAGACATAACAAACAGCAACCAACGACAACCAATGAATTACAGGCTCCTGACTTGGGACAAGCATATAACGAATATAGCTGGGTTAAAAATGTTTGTAAGCGCTCAACCCTCCGCTAACCTGGGACAATGGTGAAACAGTACAGCATATCAACAAACTGTAAAATCAGTTGGAAATGGCTTGACTAACCAGTTTAAACACGAAGCACAAAAACAATGATATAAAGACATAAAGACAAAAGGTATAGATTTAAGAGTATTCGCAGTTACTGAAAGCTAAAATTGAGAATGGAAATGGGGAATGTGTCAAAGAGACAACAACCCGACCATAGAACAGACAACAGCAGAAGGTCACCAACAGGTCTTCAATGCAGCGAGAAATTCCTGCACCCGGAGGCGTCCTTCAGCCGGCCCCTAAACAAATATATATACTAGTTCAGTGATAATGAACGCCATACTAAACTCCAAATTGTACACAAGAAACTAAAATAAAAATAATACAAGACTAACAAAGGCTAGAGGCTCCTGACTTGGGACAGGCGCAGAAATGCGGCGGGGTTAAACATGTTTATGAGATCTCAACCCTCCCCCTATACCTCTAGCCAATGTAGAAAAGTAAACGCATAAAAATACGCACATTAAAATTCAGTTCAAGAGAAGTCCGAGTCTGATGTCAGAAGATGTAACCAAAGAAAATAAACAAAATGACAATAATACATAAATAACAACAGACTACTAGCAGTTAACTGACATGCCAGCTCCAGACTTCAATTAAACTGATTGAAAGATTATGTCTTCATCATATGAATATCAGGCACAATCCTTCCCGTTAGGGGTTTAGTATCATATCATCATAACATATATGAGAAGAACATAACCCGTGTCATGCCAACAACTGGTTTTTAAATAAATGTGTTTAGTGCCGATGCAAAGACCCTATAAGTGAATCAATATTAACGCCAAAATATGCAATCTTTAATGACCTGACAACAGTATCGTAACTATATCCCTTCTTAATAAGTCTATTTAAAGGTTTTGTTAGCTTCAGAGGTGAATACTGACATTTTTGTGCTTTATAAAGAATATTTCCATAAAAAATTGGATGTGAAATACCTGAACGTATCAGAAGTCTGCATTTTGAGCTATATTTACGAATGATGTCCTTATACCGATGATAAAATTTAGTAAATGTTTTGACTAGTTTGTGATATCGAAAACCCTGGTGTAATAATTTTTCAGTAATACATAAATTTCTCTCGTTAAAATCTAAAACATTGTTACATACACGAGCGAATCGTACAAGTTGAGATATATAAACACCGTAAGATGGTGACAAGGGAACGTCACCATCTAAAAATGGATAATTAACGATAGGAAATGAAAAATCATCTCTTTTATCATATATTTTAGTATTAAGCTTTCCATTAATGATACAGATATCAAGATCGAGGAAAGGGCAGTGGTCATTGTTAGTATTAGCTTTATTTAAAGTAAGTTCAACAGGATAAATTTCTTTAGTATACATACTGAAGTCGTCATTATTGAGGGCCAAAATATCATCCAAATATCTAAAAGTATTATTAAATTTGTGTATCAGATGTTGTTTCGATGGGTCTTTGCTGATTTTTGTCATAAATTGTAACTCATAGCAATACAAAAAAAGGTCCGCAATAAGTGGTGCACAGTTAGTCTCCATTGGAATTCCGATAACCTGACGATATACGGAATCTCCAAAGCGAACAAAAATGTTATCTAGTAAAAATTCAAGGGCATATATAGTATCAAAGCATGTCCAATCGACATAGTTTTTTTGTTTATTGCTACTAAAAAATGACCTAAAAGAGTTTGAACATATATATTCACATTCTGACTTTTTAAATACCCATTTAATTAGGTGTGTGAATTTTTTCTTAATGAGAATGTGAGGCAATGTGGTATATAGGGTAGACAAATCAAAACTTTGAACAGATTCAAAATCACCAATATATGCATGTAATTTATCAAGTACTTCCAACGAGTTCTTGACACTCCAAAAGTAATTAATTCCACTATTTTCGAAGGCCTTATTTCAACAATTTATTATCAGGTTTTTGATTGTACCAAGTGTACTGGTAAGAAGAATAGACAATTTAGTAGTGGAACAATGGCTTGAAGACGAAATGAATCATTCTATATTTGTAAGGTGTTTTGTGTAGCTTCGGAAGCCAATACATAGTTGGGACTTTCATTGTATTTGGTTCTGCTTGTAAAGCGGTAGCTAAAAGTTTATGTTTGTTACAGATGTCATTTTCTGAAAATGGAGTCAGTTGGAATGTTGGTGAATTGGTGATTTCTTTTTTCAGAACCTCAATGTAAAATTTACGTCAAACAATAATAATATTATTAGCAGCTTTATCGGCCGGGACAAAAACAAATTCCTTGGCTAGTTCTTTTAGTTTATGTTTGATACGAGAAATAGGTTTATTGTGGTTATTGTTAAGAGTAAAATGTTCTTTAAAATGTTGAATACGTATATCAACTATGTTCATTACTGAATTAAAAAAAGAGTCCAAAGATTTTTTGTCAGCTTTTTCCCGTTTTATCCATTTCAAACAGCAAGTATGGAGTGAGTCGTGGATGATATTACGACACTCTTCCAATTAATAATTGACGGGGGACGATATTTAGGTCCTTTACTGAGGAATGATTTTAACTCTCGGTCTTGAACGATGTTAAGATCTCCTGTTATAACATGGGAAATGGGTCCATAAATGTATTCGGAATTACTGCAATTACATGAAGTAGGTGTATTTTCACTGATATTAACATCTTTACACAATTGGCTATAATTAAACACAAATTTCCGGGTAGATTTCTTGTAAATATAACAAATAAGAGAGAGCTCAGTATTATCAAAATATCCCGGAATTTGTTCTTTAACAGTATGGTCGTTAAAAATACCGGCAATATTTACAAAATCAAAACCTTTATTGACATTCTTTATTTTAATAAACTGTTTTTTATGATCTTCAGGGCGATCAATTTTGGGAAACAGTTTAGAATAACAATATGCCATTATAATTTGAACGATTTCATACTTAGGACTGCTATACGAAATTGTGTTGCAATCCTCTAAAATTTTATTTAACTTATTAACCGGTAATGAACAGAGCTTTGTTAACAGATAATGTCTGCCGTTGTTTTTTGAAATAGAAATCAGGTCCGAAATATTGGTATGATTGTTCAAAGCAAAAAACAATAAATAGATAAATATTTAGTAATCTTTAGTATAAAGACGTCATACATAGTCTGAGAAACGCATGACCTTGTGCAATGCCAAAATATAAGTACTTGATATAGACAGGATGTAGGAACATAATTTTTCATCAATGGAAAGCAATACATATTAAGGTATCTTTTAATTCACTCCCAAAAAAATCAATGCTATTACCGATCAAACTATATTCAAAGATCTACACTGT